ATGACATGGGATCCTGGTGGCTCATGCCTGTAACTTTAGCAACTTGGGAGGCTGACATCAGAAAGACTCAGGTTCAAGACCAGTCCTGGCAAATAGTTCCCTAGACCCAATCTCCAAAATAACTACAGCAAAATGGACTGCAGGCATGGTTCAAGTGGTAGAGTGTCTGCTTTGCAAGCAAGAAGCCCTGAGTTCAAACCCCAGTCCCACCAAAAATAAGTGACTGGGTCATGAGGACTCTGCTATTAATCCATGGATTAATGGATAAGTAGATTTGTGAGTTATCATGGGAGTGATCTGATATAAAATTGAGTTTTTCCTGGCTTGCTGGCTTTGTCATTCCATGTGATGCCCTCCACTATGTCCAGCATGAAGGCCATCAGCAGAAGCCAAGTGGATGCTACACTCGCAAACTGTGAGCCCAAATATATCTTTATAAAAGTACCCAGCCTCTGGTATTGTTACAGCAGCACAAAATGGAATAATGTCAACCCTTCTTCTGATAATATGATGTGCAAATATTTTATCCCATCCTGTGACTGCCTTTTCACTTTATTGTTTCTTTTTCTACACAGACAAAAATAATGTGCAGTAAGGAAGCTTCTTCTTTGTTCCTATGGAAGGTACTATCTCTACCTTCAAAAGCTATTTGCTATACAGAAAAACCTTGAGAATATAGTTGGAAATACAGGGCAGTCTACTACCCACCTTTTATACCTGGAATTAAGCAAATATAGAAAACCTAGAAGGCTATCATGGTCTACCTTACATTTAGAATCTTTTACTCCAGCATGGTTTTGTAATATCAGTTGACATTTTCATTTTATAATACTAAAAAATAACTTAGTTGGGACTGAAGGTATGATTGAGTGGTAAAACGCCTGTTTTGTAAGAAAGTTCAAGCTCCACTCCCATCCCCCCCCAAAAAATAAGACTTACTGTGTTAGTGCTGCTACAACAAATTATCCTAAATTAGGTGGCTTATAAACAGAAGTTTATTTCCTACAGTTCTCAAAACTAGGAAGTCAATGATGAAGGCTCCTGGTGAGTTCTCGCTATGCCTCACATGGTGGAAGAAGGTCAGTGAGCTCCTTGGGCCTCTTTTATAAGGGCACTAATGTTTTCCTAAGAGCTCTAACCTCAAGGTAACTATTACCTTCCAATCCTTCAGACTGGAGCAATCATACAACTATCTCTATCAGAAAAGTCGTCAACTCTAGTATTGAGAACTGGCCAAAATTTTTCACTTCTAAAATTCTGGTTTTTGCTTGAAAGCTTGAATTTTATTATTGACCACAACTATTAACGGCTCTCATGATGTACTGGGAAAATTTCATGTCTATCAAATAACCAAGCCTAATGACTGTAGTTGCTTCTGACATCTGCTCAGGTAAAAAAGTACTTTTTGGGAAAATTATCTAGTTCAGTCCCAACGCAATCACATAAGTAATTTTTAAAGGATAACCAATGTAGTTTGGTATGCAGCAGAAGTTCTTTGAACTTCATATTTTGTTACATAGAATGTTTTTTTAAAAAAATACATGTCTAAGGGTCAAGATTTAAGACTTCCTGCTTCACCAGAACATTCTTAAACTGACTTATTAAAAAGATACTAGTGCAATTGGGTGTCATTGCTATGAATCATGCCAAGGTCCCAGAAAATTTACATTGATAACACTGCTTTTTGCACCATCAATGCAAAAAATGTCAAGGCAGAAAAGCAAACAATATTATAAGAGTAACTTTGATGTATATGTGTATATATAAACAGGGTACATGGAAAATAAAAGTCATTTCATAAGATGGGAGACTGAGACATAAATATGCCAGTAATTTAATGTTAAATACACCTGGATTTCCAAGATGACTGGACAGAGTGGCCCAGCCCTAGCTTCCTCTGTAAACAACTTCAAAGTAGCAGGTGTGTAGCATTTTAAGGTGATGACTATGGGAGAACGAAGACTGGAAACCTGGGACAGCAGCAGAAAAAGAGAAATTTTACCCTAGTCTCTGCTACCCTGGCTCCACTGCTGAGGGAAGGGGAGTCTCTCCTCTGTAGGGATGAGGGAGAAAGCAGGAGTCCTAGCAGACTCTTGGCACACAGATGCTGGTAACCCCAGCCACTGGAACATGTCACAATCAGTACAGGCTGGCAACCCATGTGGCTAAGTGACCTCAAATCTGCACAGCAGCTGGGCTTTGGAGCAAGATCTCACCTCTCCCTGCAAACACCCATGGTGCCATCTTAAGAGCTATCTGAATTTGGACTGCTTTAGGGGTCAGACACAGCTGCCCATTCCCCTCTTTGGCCCTATACCACGTGACTTTAACTCAAACCCACTGAGTACCCTGCACACAAAGGGGAGTAGAGGATACTACCCTTGAGAATAGGAGATGGTCATCCCCCATCCCGTGTGGACTTTCTGATGCCAGGGATGAAGGCAGGCACCCACACAGTTCCCACTGACCTTTCCTCCTGCAGGCCCTGCCCACAGGGACATGTTGAGGTAGCCTGAAGAAAAACATCCTCTCAGATGGTCACCCCCAACTCAACTTTGGTACTTTGACCAAAGATGAGAGAGGAGCTTTGCCAGGCTTCCCCCACATCCACTCCTGCACACTTGCTATTGAGCAGGCACTACAAAGGAGCTGGGGTCAGGAGAAAAGCTTCAGCTCTTCCCCCATCCCTGGGGCACATGGTCAAAGGAGGCCTGAAGAGGGATCTGCCAGACTCCGGCTGTGCCCCATTCACAATCCTGGGCAGACACTACAGCTAGAAGAATCATGGGGAAGAAAACCCCTGGCTGTCAGGCTGTAAGTGTACATGGCTGGGGGTGCCAAGGTTACACTCCTGGGAAGGCACTCCCACAGCCACAGAGCAGAATCTCAGTTTACCACCACATTCCAGTTTCTGGGAATGAGCCTCACAGAGGAGTGTTATGGTTCTGGCCACTGCCTCTCCTGTGAAGGGCTTGGGCCTGCACCACCAAAGTCAGTGAGAAAAGTGCTTCAGGCCCCTCACCACTCCTGGTGTTGCTGTCAGTGCCAGAGGCCCTGGCTAGTAACAAAACTAAAATCAACAGCATTCCCAATAGGGCCCTCTATGAGTAGCCACAAAATACCCTTCCTACACAGTGCTGTCTACACCACAACTGCCTAAACTCCTAGAGCTTAGCCATTCATTTTTCTTTTTTTTTTTTTTTTTTTTTTTTTGCGGTATGGGGGTTTAAACTCAGGGCCTACACCTTGAGCCACTCCACCAGCCCTTTTTTGTAATTTTTTTTTCAAGATAGGGTCTCACGAACTATTTGTCAGGGCTTGCTTTGAACCACAGGGACAATGGATTTCTGACTCAGACAAGGTACACACTTACTCACACGAAGTCACTAATCACAGCCAAAGATGCCACCTGGAAATGACACACTGCATAACAAGCCAATACCCTGAGACATATCTTCAAAAAAAGCCCACTCTATAAAAGTGGTAGAGCTATTTGATCCAACAGATCAATGTACAAGCACAAATATTTTTAAAAAACAAAACATGGCACCAAGAAAATCACTGTAGCGACAGATTCCAAGTAAGTCAAAACTGATGAAAAACCAGATAACTGAAGAGAATCAAGCTGAGCATGGTGGCACACATCCGTAATCCTAGCACTTGGGAGACAAGGCCAGAGGATCACAAGTTCAAGGCCAGCTTTACATAGTGAAACCCTTCCAAAGGGAAAAAAAAAACATCAAAATTTGGTTCTCTGAAAAGTAACAAAATTAACAAACCTTTAGTGAGCTAGATTAAAGAGAGGGAATCAGAAAAGATATAAATGATACAAATGGAAGGTGCACAATACTATGGGATGCTGAAGACGTTAAAAAAGATATTGTCTGTCAAATGGTTTGATGAAATTCCTTTAAAAAATAAAATGTATGGAAAGCCTTAACTATTTTATAATTATACAAATTGGAAAGTAACATGAAGCTGATGGTGGACTTCTCCGCACAAAAAAACCACCCATAGTTACCCATGATTGACAATGGCCTTGGGAGAGCAAGGGGCCATTTAAGAACCTGCAAGTATATTGAAGAGACATCGGCACTCTGATTTCATTGCGTAATATTCACAATACCTAATATCTGGGATCAACCCAAGTGTCCATCACTGGAGGAATAAAGTGCTATGTAAAATGGACTACTATTCAGCCTTAAAAAAGAAAAATCCTGTCATTGAGGATGACCCTAGAGGACATTATGGTAAGTGAAATAAGCCAGACAGCGACATGCCACATGGTCTCAGTTATAAGAGCGAAGTGGGGGTTCCCAGGGCTGCAGAGGGGGCAAGGAGACTCGGGTTAAAAGACACAGTTCATGTAAGCCCGCAGCGGATTCCGGGAGCCCGGTGCGCACACGGCGCAAAGCATGTACACCGCGGAGAGCGGACGTCACTGTTCTCATCACGAAGTGGGTAAGAACACTGACGTGACTTAATTACTGCATAATGTATACAGTGCACACATCAGAACATTACATTGTATACCATCAGTATTACGATTTATTTGTCAAAAGAACACATACAAACACATCCGGGTATGGCGAGCAGAGCTCATCATACTAAACAAGCGCTATGAACTACATCCCCAGCCCCAATTTTTTAAAAAATTTGAAGTGTCAATTTGTTTCCATATTAACAGTTAAGAGAGATGTGAGTACCCCCAGAGAGAAGTATTTTATAATAGTCAAAATCCACTTAAGATGAGCATTCTAAAAGTGAGTCTGAAAACAAGAAAAAACAACTCCTTGGACCTTACGTATAAAAGCACAGTGCTCGGAAGCCCCGAGCTGGAGCGGGTTTTCAGGCCGAGAGGCAGGTGACCTTCCGGTCATAGGATGCCCTCGGAGGAGCGGACACACAGGGTACCAGACCCCAAGCCCCGGCGCTTTCCTTCGCGGCAGCCCCGTCGCCCGCGGCGGTCCGGACGCAGGGTCTGCGCGCGTGCGCGTGCGTCGTTACGTCACCGAGGCCCGGCTCGGACGCCACCGGCGGGAGTTTTTCAAAATGGGAGCCCAGAGGCACCGCCCAGGCCTCGGAAGGTGTCGGGGAGACCTTTCGGTGGCGTTGGTGTCGTCGCCGGGAGCGGCGGCCTAGAGAGCGGAGCCTGATGGGCGTCAAGACCTGCTGTTTGCTGGGGAGCGCTACCTCGAAGGCACTGCGCGGAGGGCCGAGCCCGGGCAGCCCCGGCCTAGGCCTGGGAAGATGGCGACCTGCATCGGGGAGAAGATCGAGGTGAGACCTCGGCGTCCGCACGGGCGCTGCAGGGACTCGAGGCCTCCGGGGAGGGCGAGCGGAGCTCCGGGCCGGCCGTGGGGGCGGAGTCGCCCGCTCAACCCGAGACCTGGGCGGGGGCGGGGGATGCCAGCTGCCACCTGTGGTCCCTCCCCCACTTCACCGCCCTCCGGTCCCGCCCGGGCTGCCGCGCTGAGCGGAGCAGGGCCGCCGAGGGCTGGCGGTTGGCTGCGGCGGGAACGGCGGCGGGAGCGCCGAGGCTGGGAGGCGGCGGGGAGCAGGTTTTGGGGCTCCGTCTCCAGCGCGGCCGAGGCGGGGAGCAGATCTTGGGACCCCGTCTGAAGGCTGGAGAGCCCGCACGCACCGGCATGCCTTCCACCCCGCGCGCCTGCCGTGTAGAGGTGACGCCTGCTTGGACTCTTGTCACCTGCCCCTCGCGACCCACTCCTTTCCAGCCCCTGCCCGTCTTTCCTCCTCTCCTCTCCTGTGAGTCACCCACATTACGTTTAATTTTTAAGGACTTCAAGGTTGGAAATCTGCTGGGTAAAGGATCGTTTGCTGGCGTCTACAGAGCTGAGTCCATTCACACTGGTTTGGAAGTTGCCATCAAAATGGTAAGAATACGTTAGTCAGTGAGTGTTTCCCCTGTTCTTTGCAAGTAACCAGACAGGTGTGTTATTTGAGATGTCATAAACTCTTTACCTACCAGCCTCTGGGATTATGGTGGAAAAAATACATTGATACCCAATAGACAGCAGTGCCAAGTCCAGTAGTTGAGTTTAAGAACGTTTTTGGACAGCTTGCCCTTGTTTAAGTGTTCTGTTGACATGGTATATGTTGTACTTATGCATACTTGGAGTAGTGGGTATAAATCAAAGAATTCTTTGTAACCGTAATACACCACTTGTGTATAGCTGTGTAACAATCCAAAATGTTATTCTTGTTAGAAGTCAGCCAAATGGGAGTAATGTAAACATAGGTAGATTAAGAATTGCCTTCCTAGTGATACAGCTTAGAGATAGAGTTGCCTGCCTAGTATGCCCAAGATCCTGAGGTTCCATCCCTAGCAGTGCAAAACAAAAGAAGAATTATTTAAGTGAGTTGGAAAAGGGAAAGGGAATTTTGTTTTAAAGTTGGCTAAATTTTTTTTGTGGGGCGGGAGGAGGGGGCTTCTTATGGATAAGATAGCTGTACTGTCAAATTATTTAAATGCAAAGAGAATATTAGAATGCATTGGGCAAACCTCCTGAGTGTCCACTGTGCTGAGCATTGTGCTGTGTGCATAGCAGGGAAAATAGATAACAGAGTAAGTTAACCTCAGACATGTATGAGAACACTTCTTTCCTTTTCAAAGCTGACTTAACATTTTCATTTGATAGTTTGTCGTCAACATTTAAACTTCTCTGCTGTTATTTGTAGATAGATAAGAAAGCCATGTACACAGCTGGAATGGTGCAGCGAGTCCAAAATGAGGTGAAGATACATTGCCAATTGAAACATCCTTCTATCTTGGAGGTAAGGTGCAACTATTGCAGAAGTAGCTGAGAAAACTGAATTTTTTCCCCCACATTTTTCAGGTGCAGTCTTACTATGTAGCTGAAGACTCAAAATCTTTCTGCCTTAGCCTCCCAAGTGCTGGGATTACAGGTGTGACCCACCATGTCGCCCAGCTAAGGTTGCAATTTTATACATTATAATTTATTGCACCCTTTCACATTTCAGCTTTATAACTATTTCGAAGATAACAATTATGTGTACCTGGTATTAGAAATGTGCCATAATGGAGAAATGAACAGGTATCTAAAGAACAGAATGAAACCTTTCTCAGAAAGTGAAGGTAAGCTGCTTTCTCTTCTTCATCTTTTTTGTTTGGCAGATACACATTTTGCTTTTCAAACTATGGCTTTGAAGAATGTGCTGTTTTTAATGTTGAGTAAAACTGTTTCAATTACTATTTTTAGGCTAGAAAAGAATATTAACCCCCCACCAAAAAAGGCGTTATTTTATATGAACCACTTCAGTGTTACTGAAGTAAAGTGAGAAATTTGCTTCTGCCCCCAAAACACATTGTCATTTATAGCATTTGCTATAAATAGTAGCTATTTATTGGGTATCTTCAAATCCAGGAAGCTTTTTAGTATGCCATTGAGTATAACTTCTGAATCAAGCACAAATGGCCGTTGAAACCATTTATTACAGAAAATATGAAACATACACGTAGACTGCTATCCTGAGCTTCCTCGAGTTTATCACTCAGTGTTCAAAAACTTTTGAACTCATTTATACCTTTCTTACTCCCTTGACTCACTAGAGTATTTTGAAATAAATTATAGACATCTTTTGGCAGAACTAGGGTTTATAAACTCAGGATCTCGCACTTGCTAGGCAGACACACTATGGCTAAGCCAGTTATTTTTCAGATAGGGTCTCACGTTTTTGCCCAGGGTAGACTTCTGTCCTATTTATGCTTCCCACATAGCTAGGATGACAGGTGCATAAACAGCATGCCCAGATTATTACTGATTGACATGGGGGTCTCACAAACTTTATGCATAGGCTGGCTTTGAACCTTGATCCTCCCAATCTTTGCCTTAGGAGTAGCTGGGATTGCAGTTGTGAGCCACTGCACCTGGCCTAAAATATCTTTTTTTTTTTGCGGTATTGGGGTTTGAACCCAGGGCCTGCTCTGCCTCCTGAGTACCTAGGATTACAGGCATGAGCCTCCAGTGCCCAGCTCTGAAGTATCATTTTTTACCCACTGAATTGAGATAACCTAATGTTAAAGAGATGTTCATGAAAATATAGCCTTTTTAAGGGTAACTTGTAACTATGAAAATAAACTTTCTTATCCTATAATCTACTGATTCTACAACTTGAATGTACTATAGAGAAACACCCACACATATACACAAGAAAAAAAGCACCTACAAGAATGCTTATGACTATGATTTTGTAATCTTGAAATATCAGAAATGACCCAAATGTTCATCAATAGCAATTAAGTAAGTGCTATAGAAATATCTGTAAGAAGTTCTGTAAAGTGGGAGAAAAATAAACAAGCTCTAAATATTGAAACCATTTTTCTGTTTTAAAAGGATTTGTTACAGTGTGTCTAGATTGAAGTATGTAGGTATGGAGAAGAAAAGTGTAAAAGAATACATGCAAACTGGACAGGAAGACTTTTGGGAGTTGGAGAGACATCAAAGGAGCTTTATTTTATATTTTCTTTTTCTTTCTATGAATTGTTTATGCAATTGCAAATCATTATTTTTCCTAATTGTTATGGACTTCTGGTTACCCTAATGTTTATCCTAATCACTCAGTTGCTAATGAAATTTAGTTTTTCTTAACTATATGTAAAAAGCTCATTAGTTGGAAAGGGCAAAGATTAAAACAAGTAAATAGTTTTTAAAGGGAATTAGAAGATAATTATGAAATCACCAGAGTAATATTTTGGTTAGTTAACCTAATCTATAAGCTAGTATTTTAATGTAATACTCTGACATTTGTACTTGGGTTTCATAATGTAGTCTAAATGCTGAATCTTTGAGATTTTCTTTATCTTAATTTTATTTTATTTGTGGGTTTGAACTTGGCTTCATGCTTGCAAAGCACGCACTCTACTGCTTGAGCATACCTCCATTCCTTGTTGCTCAGGTTATTTGGAGATGGGGTCTCAGGAGCTATTTGCCCAAGCTGGCCTTTAAATGGGACACTCCCAATCTCAACTTCTCAAGTAGCTAGTTCTACAGTTCTGAGCCAGAGGTGCTTAGCTTGAGATTTTTATTTTATGTTTTTGGTGGTACTGTGGTTTGAACTCCGGGCCTCAACTTCCTAAGCAGGCACTCTACCACTTGAGCCACTCTGCCAGTCCTTTTTTGTGTTGGCTGTTTTCGAGATAGGGTCTCAAGAACTATTTGCCCTCCTGATCTCTGCTTCCCAAATAGCTAGGACTACAGGTATGAGCCACTGCTTTTTTTTGGTTTTTTGGGGGGGCGGGGGCAGGTCGGTGGGACTGGGCTTTTAACTCAGGGCTTCACACTTGCAAAGCAGGCACTTGACTGCGTGACCCACACGTTCAGTCCTGAGATTTTCTTAATTGTAAGTTCTCTTTTTTTGCATCCTCATAGCGCGACAGTTCATGCACCAGATCATCACAGGAATGTTGTATCTGCATTCTCATGGCATACTACACCGGGACCTTACGCTTTCTAACCTCTTACTCACTCGTAATATGAACATCAAGATTGCTGATTTTGGGTTGGCAACTCAGTTGAAAATGCCACACGAAAAGCACTATACACTGTGTGGAACTCCTAATTACATTTCACCAGAAATTGCAACTCGAAGTGCTCATGGACTTGAATCTGATGTTTGGTCCTTGGGCTGTATGTTTTATACATTACTTATTGGGAGACCACCTTTTGATACTGACACAGTCAAGAACACATTAAATAAAGTAGTATTGGCAGATTATGAAATGCCAACTTTTTTGTCAAGAGAGGCCAAGGACCTTATTCACCAATTACTTCGTAGAAATCCAGCAGATCGTTTAAATCTGTCTTCAGTATTGGACCATCCTTTTATGTCACAAAATTCAGCAAAAAGTAAAGATTTAGGAACTGTAGAAGACTCAATTGATAGTGGCCATGCCACAATTTCTACTGCAGTCACAGCTTCTTCAAGTTCCAGTGTGAGTGGGAGTTTATTTGACCGAAGAAGACTTTTGATTGGTCAGCCACTCCCAAATAAAATGACTGTATTTCCAAAGAATAAAAATACAAGTGACTTTTGTTCAGGCGATGGAAGCAGTCTGTGTCCTCAGTGGGGAGATCAAGAACAAGAAACCAGTCATAGTGGAAGGGGAAGAGTAATCGAAGGTGCAGAAGAAAGGCCCCATTCTCGATACCTTCGTAGGGCCCATTCCTCAGACCGATCCAGCGCTTCTGCTAGTCAGTCTCGAATGAAGACATACTCAATGGAGCGATGTCACTCAGCAGAGATGCTTTCAAAGCCCAAAATACCAGGAGTTGAGAAGAAAGAAAGATGCTCACACACAAGCAGCAATGCCGATGTTTTTCACTTCTTTAAAGAAAAGACATCCAGTAATTCTGGATCTTTTGAAAGAGCTGACAACAGTCAAACAGTGTAAGAATAATGCTGTGAAAAGCATTTCTTTTCTGGTAAACATTGTACTAGCACAGATAGGAAACTGCATCCATTAGAAGTAGGCTTACCAGGGCCATGAATGTATTTTCTTAAACACTGTCAGATATTTCTGAGGCAATTCTCAATTGTAACTTTTCATTTCTTACAGGAAGAGAAGTAGAATAATAACTTTGAATTATGGTTAAGAGCTCTTAAAAGTGAGTGTAGCTATGTGTGGTGGTGCACACATATAGACCCAGAATTTGGGAGGCTGAGGCAGGAGGATCATGAGTTCGAGCCCAACCTGGGCTACATACTTAGTTAAAGGCCAGCTTGGACTACATGTAGTGAGACCCTGTCTCAGCCCCCTCGTGCCGTAAAAAAGTGAGTGTATACGTTCATGAATATCTTTACAGAGTGTTTAATTTAGGGATGCTTTTAGTTTCATTTTTTTATTTTAAAGGGAGCAGGTCTCCAGTGCAGAGTACCATATATTGAGTAAGTTTGATGCTAAAGTACTTAAATAACTACAAAGAGAGAAAAGATGAGCGTTGAGTGAGATTAATCATAGTCCTGAGTGTTGTAACAGAAAAACTAATTATGTAGTAGTTACTTCTCTGTCTCATCTTTTTATGACTTTTGTGCTTGAAATGTAATGTAAAAGGGCAATAGTCATATAGGAACAACAAAGTGCCGTGGCACTTTGGGGATTTAACTTTTTAGACAACTTATGCCGTTGGTTTGTGCAGTTAATTTTCAGGAATTCAAATCTCTCTTTTCTATTATTTCTACTTTTAAGGGAGTGCCCAGGTGCTAGGGATGTAGCTCTGTTGTAGAAAAGTTACTGGTCATTTTTTATTAGCTTATGGGATTCTTTTTTTCTTCTTTAGCTCCAATCATCTTTGTGTAGGAAAAACTCCTTTTCCCTTTTCAGAGCAGGCACCACAAATGGAAATGGTACAGCACTGGTTCGGGAATCTACAAGTGAATGGTGAGTGTTTAACAGAGGATTTCATGAAAACTCATGACCTGGATTTTTATTACCAAGCACTGCAGTTTTCTAGTTTTTTTCTTAGAAAACAAATTTCCAATAAATTTCAATGAAGCTATTCAATAAAGCTACCATAATGTAACACTTTAAATATTTTAAATATTTACTATAAGTCAGCTACTATGCTCATTCAACTTATTTGATTAAGTTGAGGAAGATTCGGCCAACCTTCTCTTCCAGTTGAGGTCATGCCTAGCCCTATATCCCCATGCTTTACTACCGTGGCATGAAGCAGCCAGGGTTCTAATGCAAGGAGCCTTGGCTCAGGAGCTTTGCTCCTAAGCCTTCTACTCTTGGAGCTTCTCTGTTAGGAGCAGCTTCTCTCAGTGCCCATGAAATAATCAAAAGCAGAAGCCGATATGAACGTTGTAATCTACTAGTGAGACTTCACAAAAATATGCAGCCATTAAAACCTAGGCCTTTTTAAGCAGCTGTCACTCATGTTATTACAGAGTGAAGATTAAGCACTCCTCATTAATGAGCACAACACTCACAGAAGGTGGGCTGGTAAATAATGATGGGAAGAAGAGGGCATGAAAAGAAACAGACGGAGTGGAGGAGGTCATTTCTAACCAAGTATTGTATTCAGACAATAAGAGTGCTTAATGTGGTGGTAACTTAAGCAGAGTTGTGATGTCATCTCAAATCCATTTCTCTTTTTTCAAAAGAGATGTATTGATTTTCAGATGCTAAAAGGGAGTTAATCTTCCTGTGTACCTGTTGAAGGTAATTCATGTTTGATTTTTAAACTGTAAAGCTGCCATGTATGTAATCTTGCACTTTCATTTTCGTTTGGTAATATGGACTTGTCTGAGATGGAGATAGTAGTGCTGCTGTATTTTAAAGTATTTTACTTGATACAGAGTTTTTTTGTCATAAGAGTAGGGAGAAAGGTTTACAAAGTCACTTAAAAAATTGTGTTACACAAAGTTTTAGAGTCTAGTATTGAAAACTTGTAGTTTTATATAATTATTTAAGACCCTTTAAAATAATAATGTGAACTCTAAAATTGTGTGAAATGTAAATTGGTAAAATTCAGTAAGAGCTTTGAAAAAATTTCAATGCAGTGCTTCAGCAGAACAAATACTAAAATTGGAACGATAAGAGATTAGCATGGCCTCTGTACAAGGATGACATGCAAATTCATGAAGTGTTCCATATTTAAAATATGTATTTATGTATGTATCAGTGCAAATGCATGTGCAATAGTACTTAATAGTACTATACATAGTACTTAATATATACAATATTAAGTACTAATAGCATTAAAGTTATTTATATGGTGTGTTGCTTTTAGTTGCACATTTTCTAAGTGAAGATGAAGTAGGCAGTCCTGAGCTTAAAGGGAATAAATTTATATACTTTTTTTTATATAGAATGATTGTCTGGAAAGTCTTCTCAAATTGGCTTTCTTTGGAACAAAAGCTTAGAATTAGTAGGTGATTGTAGCATCTAGTTTTTGCCTTAATAGAAACACTCATTTCATGTTACTATCTTTACCTAGTCTTAGGAATACTAAAGGTATTTCCCCAATCTGACTTAAAATGTCCTTTCTTAAAGTTACTTTTTTTTTTTTTTTTTGGCCATACGTCACACTACTCATTTATTAAGAAAATTAGGAACACTTTAGTTTTTTACTAATTTCATTTTAAAATAAACATTGTGTATATTTAAAGTATATAGCACTGTTACAACCTAGATCTGTATATCACAGCGGTTACTGTAGTGGGACAGATTAACCTAGCTATCATATCCCATAGTAATAGACATTTTCCCTCTTTGGCAAGAGCAGATGTAATGTGCTGAGTTAGCAAAACTCCTGAGTATAATACGCTATTTTACTAAACTTTTTTTTTTTTTAATGCTATTAAAATCATGGTTATGTTGCTTTCTAGTTCACTAAACTGCTTTTTCAATGTGTCTATAGCTCATTTAAGAGAAACTGAGCACAGCAGAGATTTCCACGGCTATCCAGATTTGCCAAAGGATGCATCAAGAAATGCTTGGGCTGATTCAAGAGCCAAAAAGAGCGCTAATACTTCTGAAAATACACACCCTGTGAAACAGATGGGTTCTGTGAAACACATAGCTGGACTCCACAGTAAACATGAGATGATACAGCAGGAACTGATATTTGGCTTAGATCCTCTTTCTGAACAAAGCAAGACTCGGGTTCTGGAGTCAGCATTGGGTAATCAGAAGCGCACATTACGAAGCATTACAGCTCCTTTGGTTGCTCACAGGTTAAAACCAATCAGACAGAAAACCAAAAAGGCAGTGGTATGTCTATTACTTTTCTAAGTTACTATTTGATATTTTTCCTAAAATACAATTCTTATAATTTTCCTTGATTTTGGAGTATATATATGATACACTTATTTAATGAAAAGATGGAGTATTTGTGGAAAAATAGGTCTCATTTCCTTCTAGCTTTTTTTGTTTGTTTTTTTTGAGATAGAGTCTCTGCTCTGTAGCTCAGGCTGGCCTCAAGCTCTTGATCCTCCTGGCTCAATTTCCCAAGTGCTGGGATTACAGGCATGTACCATCACACCCTCTAGCTTTTTAAGAATGGTGAATTGATACTGATAAGTGCTGAGTTTTAAATTAATTGATTTTTATAAAGTAATATTTGAATGAAAAGCATTTAAAAATGTTGACTGTACTGATAAGTATTTTATTCATAATTCTAATCAGTGAATTGGTATTACCCCTTTGCTTTAGTTTTTGTTTCTATATTCAGTCTCATCAAAAAAATAAATTAGAAAATATCTCTTTAATAACTGAAACTTTCAAAAAATGAGTATGGACATTTATGTTTAGAATTTTAAAAAAATTATTTTGAAGTGGGAATGGTGATTTTTTTTTTTTTTTTTTTTGTCTTTAATTCCATCTTGTTGTGTGTTCCCTCCTTGCATCTCCTTTCACCTAGTCTTGCCTTTGTTGGTTTGCTATTGTCTTTCACAGTCCCCTTTCTCCACCCTACCTTCTGCTTTTTTTTTTTGCTCATTGGTTATCTCACACTTCATTATACATTAATACTTTGCACCTTCTGGCTCCCAATTGTGCTCAAGTGTACCTCCAGTCTGACTATTGAAGTGAAGCAGCTGCTTGATTTTGGCGTTAATACTCATTTCTGCTATGGTTAAGTGCTTTTAAGTATCATGAGTGTGGGAGATGTTCCAGTAAATAGACAGTTTTTACTGATTTTTTGTTTCTTTCTGTAGGTGAGCATACTTGATTCGGAGGAGGTGTGTGTGGAGCTCCTAAAAGAGTGTACCTCTGAAGAGTATGTGAAGGAAGTTCTTCAAATATCTAGTGATGGAAATATGGTAATGTGTGGTCCTTGTAACTCAAATTGTCACTTAAGCAGTTAGCATTCCAGTTCATTTTCCAGTAAGATAATGTTATGATAGAGTCTCTGGAATTCAAAGACTGGAATAGCATACTCAGCATATGTAGTAAATTAGTTCAGTCTTTAAATTAATTACAAGGCTGGGGTTATATAGTTCAGTGGAGTCTTTGTCTGCTATGCACAAGGCGTTGAGTTTGATCCCCAACTTCCATAGAAAGATAAGAAGAATTTTAACTAGTAACAAAATCTAAAGTCTTGGTTTATAAGTTTAAAGGGGAAAAAGTTATGTTTTTTATATTTATGTTTTAGATATATTTTTTATTTACTTTTTATAGTTACACAAAATACAGTACTCTAACTTAATGGCATATAATTAGAAATGTTAAATTTTTGGCAGATCACTATTTATTATCCAAATGATGGAAGAGGCTTTCCTCTTACTGATAGACCACCAGCACCTACTGATAACTTCAGCAGGTACAGCTTTGACAGTTTACCAGGTATGTGAACTTACCAGGTATGTCACATGTTACACAGATATAACTTGTGTTGTGCACACCTGCCAGAATCTCAGTACTTGGGAGGCTAAGGCAGAAGGATCATGAGTTCAAAGCTAGACCTTGTCTTTAAAAAAAATATGTATATATACAAAAAACACCAAACATAATATGTGTACTTGTTTAATTAATAATTTAGCTAGAATCTTGTTACAAAATTCAATATGAACTGTCTAGTCTTGGCCTTTTGAAATCATTGCTGTGATTTCACAATCGTGATTGTGACTAACCAGATTGGATTTCTGATTCAGCTTTTAGATATTATGAATTAGGGAAATAAGTACTGAATAATAGTGCAACTTTATTGAAAACCTATCTGAAATCAAAACAGAGAAAACTATGTGTCAAGTTGGACTTGGGCCGGGGCTCAAGCAGTAGAGTTGCCTAGCAGGCACAAGGCCCTGAGTTCAAACCCCAGTACTGCCCTCCCCCCAAAAAAAACAACTGTATGTAATATTAGGTAATTTTTTCCCCTTAGAAAAATACTGGCGAAAATATCAATATGCTTCCAGATTTGTACAACTTGTAAGATCTAAATCTCCCAAAATCACTTATTTTACAAGATATGCTAAATGTATTTTGATGGAGAATTCTCCTGGAGCAGATTTCGAGGTTTGGTTTTATGATGGTAAGTACTATTTAGAAACAGTATTTTTTTCCTTTTGTTTGTAATTTAGAGGCTGTATTTTTTCTTTAATTCAAAACAGAAAGTTGTACAGGTGTTTGTTATCTCTATACATGTAATAAACCATACAGCAAGTATACTAAGTCAGATTATGCTAACCACAGTTCATTTCCAGACATGCCTTCCCGTAAACAGCTGTGCTCTGTATGTCATGGTAGTCCACCTTACCACCTAGCTCTACATACAGAATAGTGGTATAAACATTGTGTGAAATAATAACCCTGTTTCTTATTAGAAACTCAAATGGCCATATACCAAACTATGAGGATTATAAGTGTGGCAAAAAGATAATGTGCAAGAGTTTCATTCTCTACATATTCCACAAAAATGATTTACATGTTAGTTGTAAATCTTCCTCTTAAAGGGATACACATGCACACCTGTCACACAGGAGCATATGAGAGCCGTGTTTTTTTTTTAATATAAAAGTTTAAGACTTAATGTGCTAAACACAAAAAATGGTTGGCCTGTGTTGATTTTGAGAGTCTTATTTTGTTAATGGTCAATAAATGAATATACATGAGACCTTGATCTGAGAGCCATGATAATGAATACAAATCTGTGAATGGTAAAAAAAATGACAAACGTTTTCTGCTTGCTTTTTAGGAGCAAAAATACATAAAACAGAAGATTTAATTCAAGTGATAGAAAAGACTGGAAAATCTTACACTTTAAAAAATGAAAATGAAGTTACTAGTTTGAAAGATGAAATAAGAATGTATATGGACCATGCTAATGAGGTACATTCTTGCTTGAAGGTTTTTACCAATTAATAATGTTTCAGATTAAAGAAGTAAAACATTGACAGAAAGCACTCTTCTCCTGAAATAGGGTCATCGTATTTGTTTAGCGCTGGAATCTGTAATTTCAGAAGAGGAAAAGAAAAGTAGAAGTACTTCCTTTTTCCCAATAATTGTAGGAAGGTAAGTGTTTGAAAATTTTAAACATACTGCTAAAATGTGTAAGTTATGTTTTTTAAAATACTGTTTGCATTATAAACATTCTTTGGTTTTCTGTACATTGAAAGCTTTAAGGGAATATATTTCTCCTTCAGAAAACCTAGTAGTACTGCTTCACCCAAGGCCTTATCACCTCCTCCTCCTGTGGATGCAGACTGCTCAATGAGAGGCAGACCATCTTTGGATAAATTGATCACAGACTGTGCTGCTTCTCCAACACAGGCACAAATACTTAATCCCTCTGTAAGTAAAGACGTCACTTGTGTATTTTAGGCACCCTTCATATAAAGTTGAAATGCAGGATTGAGGGGACCTGAGTTCAGTGATAGAGCACCTGGTTAGCATGGGTAAGACTCTGGGTTTGATCTCCAACATAGATAGATTAGATTAGATAGATTGATCTCCAGCATAGATAGATAGGTAGGCAGACAGACAGACAGGAAGAAAGCCTTGCTGTGACTTTACCGTTTCCTACCTATTTTCTAGCCTCATCCTGAACTACTTTATCCCACACTATCTGCTTGAGCCTCAAGGCCTTCTTCACATCTTCGAAAAGGTCCTTCACATGGTGTTCACTTGACCTAGTAACGTGTGCAGCTTGATTTTTACTAGTAGTATATCACTGACTGCCTAGATCTCCATGACAGGCTCATCAACTATCATGCCAATGAAAAGTACATGTTAATGTGGAATTCAGCATTAACGTCGTAACATGGGATGTGGGTGTGTGTACTCACTATTTATGTACTCTGATTTGTGGCTGTGAAAAAGTAATGCCTTGGGAAATTAAGAAAATGAAAACAGTACATGTGTGATATTTTTTCTCTTCCGTATTTTTCTTACTCTTAATGATATGGTTGGTATTTTAATTTTAGAATTAAAATTGTCTTTAAAAATGATTTTAAGCTCATAAAAATCCAGTACTTTTCTACTTTTGCTAAAGTTGGCTTATTAATAATACCTTTCTGTGCTTTCTTGTTTGCAGTTAGTTGGAACTGAAGGACTTGGCCATACAGTTTCAGAAACAGCCATGTCTTCCAGTAGTCTAAAAGATTGTCTACCTAAATCAGCACAACTTTTGAAATCTGTTTTTGTGAAGAATGTTGGTTGGGCTACACAGGTGAGAAGTTTCTAGGAAGGTGAATTTTCTCAGTATGAATTTCCTTTGTTTTCTTGCTGATTAGACAATTGTCCAAAAATATAAATTATTTTATTTTCTCTTTACTGGGAAGTTTTTATACTTTCTCACTTTGTTTATTAAAACTTTTAATATTTTTATTTGTATATAATGGAAAACTTCAGATACTGTTAGTAACAGGTTGCCTGGTAAGGATTGTGTGTCCTTTTTGCTAATTGTTTTTAAACAGATCATGATAATTTGTTACCGTGAGGAGTGAGAATGATCTCCAGGGTTTCTTAAATTTAGAAACTTTATAATGTGTATGACTAGAGTACCTTTCATTTGAAAAAAGAAGGAAAAGATTGGTACTTTCATATTAAGTCAACATTGAATTTCAAACTTACAGAATTTTATGTAGATGGAAACCCCTATACGGGTGTATTCTCTAAAGGCTTGAAGCTTAGAGACTTTTGATCATGGCACTTAGAATTTTACTTATCACTGAGGTAAGATGCACTCTAGTACTTTATGGACTTAGGTAACATTTGTTGAGTACGTGTTGTGTGGTTTGTGGTTTTCATATGCATTGTATGATTTATCCTCCAAAATAACCTAGTAAAGCTGATGCTATTTCCTTTTAAAGATGGTAAAATTAATAGTTCAATGGAGTAGACTCACTTGTCAGATCCTACAGTACTTGTAAGTGGGCAGAATGTGGATGAAAGCTTCTGTTCGTTTGATCCCAGTGTCCATGATTTTTCCCTTGTCTGTACCATGTGTCTTCATCACGTTTTGAGTGACAAATTATAAATATTAATGACTAAAAGAAGTTTCAAAGGTTAAGCTACAACGTCATCAGGCAAGGGATAAATTCTTGTGCCCTAAGGTCAAACAGTGTTGCTTTTATTTCCTGGGATCCTGGGTAAGACAGAAAAGAAGAAAGAGAAAAAAAAAAAAACCTGCTCAGATAATCTCATGTAAATTAGTGGCAATAGGGTTCATTTATAATCAGATTAAATGTTACAGTGCCTTAGCTATTAAAGAAATGATAGAAAAGATGTGAATATTCTCAGTTCTTTGACTGTTACAGACTAAATTTGTAGTTGCTGGACAGCGTTGTTTTATTTATTGTTTTCTGTTTTTTATTTGAGACAGTCTTACTATGTAGCCAGGCTGGCCTGGGTCTTAAGCTCCTCTTGCCTCAGCTTCTCCAGTGCTGGGATTGCACGTGTGGGCCGCCACACCTGACTCAGAGTTGTTTTAAAAACCTGTACACAGTTTTTTAAAAACGTGGTGGTGCATGACTGTGGTCTCAGCACTCAAGAAGGAGCTGCAAAAGGATTGTAAATTTGAGGCAGCCTCAGCTATTCAGTGAGATCCTTTCTGAAAGAATGAATGGATGATGAATGTATAAGTTAATGAAAGAAACGAATTGTAGAAAATTTGGTCAGATTCTCTACCATACAGTCATTTTGTGTACTTATTATTTTTCTAGTTAACTAGTGGAGCTGTGTGGGTTCAGTTTAATGATGGGTCACAGTTGGTTGTTCAAGCAGGAGTATCTTCTATCAGTTATACATCACCAAATGGTCAAACAACTAGGTAAGTTCTTAAAATGTTGGTTGAGCCTTTTTGCTATAATTTTGATTTTATAAAGTTACTCTTTATTTTGATAGTTACTGTTTTAACTGCTCGTTATTCTTAGCACTTCATATAGTCTTTAATACACATTTGAAGATTTAAATACATTAGTGCAAAGCAGTTGATGTGAATAATCCACCCATAATGCACTCAAGTGGTTAGATTCCTTGTAGCCTTATTCTGAAACAATAAAGGTAGTCCCTTTCAGCATGGACTTCTAAGTTGAAAGTTGTAAACCTAAACTATTTACTTAAAAGAACATAGAAACAAGAAAGATTTTTTAAAGAGATCATTTGACTGCTTTTCCAAATGAAAGGCTGTATCCCTCAATGTAAATAGATTATTTGAAAGACTTTTCAAATGTAAACAGGCAGCCCTTCATATACACAGGTTCCTCATTCAAGGTGTCAACCAAAGATGAAAAATATTTGAAAAAAAAAATATGTGTGTATTGCGTATGTACAGGATTTTCTTTCCCTAAACAGCACAGTATAGCTATTTACACAGAATTTAGATTGAATCTGGTACTAGCAAGGAATCTGAGATTGAAAGTATATGGGAAGAGGTGGGCTTGGTGGTACACAACTATAATCCAGCTCTTCAGGAGGCAGATGCAAAAGGATTGCGAGTTTGAGGCCATCTGGGGCAAACATAATAGCAAGACCCTGTCTCAAAAACAATAGGCCTGGGGTGTCAGGGGTAGCTCAAGTGGTAAAATGCTTGCCTAGTGTGCAAGAGGCCCCGAGTTCAGTCCTCAGCATTGCAAAATCAAAAACAGAACAGAGACGTATATGGGAGGGTGTGTCCAGGCCATAAATAAATCGTATGCCATTTATATAAAGGACTTTGCATCCTCTGATTTTGGTATCCTGGGTGATTTTGGAACCAGTGCTCAGAGTATTTGTTCCATATGAATGTGCATAGCAGACATTGTGTCAGAAGTAAGCCTGGCATTGCTGGAAAAGTCATGTGGTTTCCACATTTAAGCCCTAACTTACTAAAAAGGGGTGGCAATGCCAATACTCAGAGAAGAGCTGATTGCAGTGAAGTACTGGACATGCACAGTTTGCTGTTTTGTTTTTGTTCAGTGGGTTTGTGTGCAATACCATCACCAGAGCCATCGCTATGCTGAGGCTCTGCTGGAGGCACTTCCAGTGCTGCAAGCACGATGGTGCAGATGTAAAGTGAGTAGAGCACTGGCCCTGTAACCTGACTTGCTGTGGTCACTTTGAAATTATGACCATGTAATAGAAGTATATATAGAAGCTTAGCTTTGTGTGTGTTCTTTAGCATGAAGGTCTTCCATTAATGTAGATTCTAGATTTACAGCTTACTTTAGAAATTATAAATTCAGTTGCAGTTTTTTTTTAATCAAATTTTGTTATTTAAATATAGAAGTTGCTCTATTTTTAAAGAAACAAATTGGATATGCTTCCCTTGATTTAGCTATCTACTTATAGATGTATTTTCTTAAACTGCCTCTATCTTTGAAAAATTACTAAAAAAAATATGTTTTCCAGTATTCTCATAAGAACCAAATAATTATGTTTTTATGTATTTTCTTTTGCTTCACTTAGGTATGGAGAAAATGAGAAATTACCAGAATACATTAAACAGAAATTGCAGTGTCTTTCTTCCATCCTTTTGATGTTTTCTAACCCTGTTCCTAATTTTCATTGATTAAAAACTTCTTCCAGATATCTATGTTTAATAAATAACTTTTTGGTTGGCTTTCAAGTAAAGTGACTTTTTTTAAGTTTAATATGATTATTTCAGAAAGCCTTTCTACTAAACAGACTATTCACCTGTATCTTAGAGGATATATGCTGAGAGAACAAAGTAAAATGAAATTTAAGTCCGCTACCAAATGTAGTGGTCAGAAAGTAAGATAGGACATCCACCTTTGTTCCAAGGACTGACTGTATTCTTGTACATGTATTTAACATTTTCTAAAGCAAAAAATATGTTGTGTGGTGTGTTTGTGCCTTTTTTTTTGTTTTCCCTACTTCTCAGACATGTTGAGAATCATGGACAAAACATGCTGTCATCTCAGAACTTTTGAACATGTAAATAATGTATATTTGTTATAAGTAACATGTAAACATGTATATTTGTTCTATATTTATTTTTGTAGCACCAGTGTCTGATGACACATTTCTGCAAATGCATTTTATAAAAAAATAAATGCAGTGATAAGTTACTTCATCTTTGATGTATTTAATTAAGTACTTACAAAAGTTACTGTGAAGTAATTCTTAAATTTTGTTGCTTGTTGAGAAGGAACAAAGTTTAGAAATTGTTTGGCTTTGCTTTTGGCAATACTGGGGTTTGAACTTGGCCTCACACTTGCTAGGTAGGCGCTCTACCATGTAAGCCACTTGGCCAGCTCGTGGAGGAGCCAACTTTATAAATTTGTAAGTAGTAGGCATCATTTCTCTGCTTGTATCTGAAAATACCTGCGTGTTTTCCAGTAATATGTACTTACATTTTTAACACCAAAGAACATCATGATGCAGTTAATTAGCATGAAATAAAAGACTAGATGACTCTGGGATAGATGTTCCTAATGGAAACTAGGCCTTATTGTATTTCAGTATGAATGAAGTATGATAAGGGCTATTTAACCTAGTACTCTTTGCTGGTTTTCTAGTCAGGAAAATACTGGTAAGTAGGCAAGTAAGCAATCACAATTACTCAACATTGTTTGGAGGGTTTTACCTTAGGTAGTGAGAAGAAAAAAGTAATTTTATTTACAAATAAATTTTTTTTAAAGCCCAATAGAAAAATGGACAAAAGATAGTTCAGAAAGGAAGAAATCTATATGGTCCACAGACTCAACTTCATTAAAGATGGAGAAATGCAAAAGTAAGAGAATCAGGCTGGGGAAGTTGCTCAAGTGCACTTGCCTAGCAAATGCCAGAGCCTGAGTTCAAATCCAGTAACACACACACACACACAAATTCTAGCTAAATTTCATTTATTTGCAGCACTTGGGTTTGAACTTGGGACTTGACACTTGCTAGTAGATATTCTTACTGCTTGAGCCTCTCTGCCAACCCCTCCCTAAATTTTAAAGATAAACACATTTTTCCTTTGTCAGAACTAGATGTACCTTGCATTATCCCTTTCTCTGCGCCTTTTTCAGATACAGGCTTAGATTGTTTCTGTCTCTATGAGTTTTTTATACATTGTAGCTGAATTTTTAATGCAATTTAGTAACTTCTATAGCCTAATTCGATTATAATTTCACTGATCTTCTTTGGGAGAGGAGTAAAATAGTAATTTAATATTCAGTGTTTACATCACCAGGAGTATAAAAATATTCACAGCTGGGCTATATGTACTAGACTGGAATTGAATTTCTTCAAAACTTTTTTAATGGAGTTATTTTGCTTTGCTTCAATATGTCATGTCATCTATGTCTTTTGTTGTTCCTTTTCTCCTCCCCTTTGGTGACATTGCCAATTTCCTTTTCCTTGTGTCCTAGTTGCTGGGTGGTTTTCCAGTGTGGATGAAGTACAGTTTATCATCTATAGCCAGTGGCCAGCTTAGTTTCTAGATTGCCTGAAATCACACTACTGTGAACATGTTCTGGACACAAGTATTGAGGGTTTTTATCAGAAGTGAATTGCTAGATCTTAGAGGTTATGGTCTCAAGCTTTAGTAGATATTTTTTACACTTCCACCTGCAGCTATCAAAGTGTATGTTCTACACTCTCACCAGTACTTGGTGTTGTTATGTAGTGTCTTTTTTAAAATTACTGCCAATTTGGGATAGAGCTCTATCTAGCTCATTGGTGGATCACTTGCCTAGCAAACCAAGGCCCTGCCAGCACTGAATAAAACTGTACAAAAACAAATTTATTGCCAGTTTGACAAGCACAGTGTATCACTGTGGTTTTAATTTGCATTATTTCCCTCATTACTGAATTAGTTGATGATGATACTTTTTACTGGATGTCTCTACTTCTGTGAGTCGTGTTACTGTCCTTTGCCTATTTTCCTATGGGGTGTCTGTGGTTTTTAACAGTGCTCTGTATGTATCCTTTGACTATTGATACTTGCAAAAAACTTCTCCCATTCTAGGCCTGACATTTTGAGAGAGATTTTTCATTTAGAAATTAAAACATTTAATAATAGAAATATGTTTGTGATTTAGGTATTTTCTTTCTTTAGTGTTTTACTGTTTGTTAGGGCCTTCAAGTCTATGAAGAAGAATCCAGATTTTAGTTTTTTGCTTTTACAACCTCAATAGGACTTTTCTTCACCACCACTGCAGTCCAGTTACCTTTAAAACTAAACTAAAACTAACAACTTCTTATATTTATTTCTAATTCTGGGAAACCTGTAAGAAAGATCATGCTACCTCAGTGTTCTGTGGCTTTGCCATTGGCTCCTCCCAATCCCAGTCTCTCCCATCATCAGCTGTTCGCTAGTCATTCCTTGGAGAAACATTCCCTGACTTTCCGGTCAGACCTGGCTCCCTTCATCATCACTGGTGTCCATTCTTTCTTCCCTTAGTCATAGTCAGGTATCGTGTACAGTGATGGCGTGTAAACCACACTGGAAGGGGTTCTTATGTCTGGTATCAGAAATTACCTGGTAGTTGGCAGGTAGTTGGTGCCCCCTTCAATATGTATTGAAAAGACGATTAAGGTACAAATTCAGATCTCATTTATTCAGAAGTGAACATTCACAATTCAGACAAAATTACAAATCTGTGGTACTGAGAATTTCTTCTCAAATTAATCTTGAACAGATGCAGATACAGCTTATCTTCATCAAAGTAAACTACAAATTTATGCAGTAACTGGGAAAATTTAAATATAGACAAGCATAGCAACAGAGCAGACACTTTGTATATAAATTCCTTCAAAATAAGAAAATACCCTTCTCAAGTTTAGTTTTTTTTTTAAAGTACTATCTATCTTCTTAAATATATACTATTCTTAACATACAGCTTCAGGTCCCCCATCACCTTTTTTTCAATTTTACTCATTTTGTCTTACTCAAGTACTCAACTGGGTTATTTCCTCCTCAGTCACTTCTGCCAGATTAGAGCTGACCTGAATTTTAGTCTCTATCTATCTCTTTAGAAGCTGGGAAATATTTCTATCTATATTCTTTCAGGAAACATGCTCTGATGCTGAAAAGCCGCAGTCAGCAGACTTAAATTTATGTTTCCCAAATATTTCTGCTAACAGGAGTCCTTGGTACAGTGACTCCCCAAATTTACGTCACAATTAGTAACTGATACTACAGTACTTCCTGAGCTCTTTTCCCCATTATAAAAATACAGTGGCTAGACAAGTAACTCCTGCTCCTCCATTCTCTCATCTGTTGTGAGAGTTAAAACTACACATTACACATTACCATGGATGTGGAAAGAACCAGATGTGCTTCCCATTATTTTCACCCAAACCAGGGGGAGCTTTAGGATTAGAAGTGCTCTAAAAATGAAATCCAGAGAAGTGCAGAACAATAGGTAAGCAGGTCCCTGGTTGTGACAACCAGAAACCTGGCTATGGTTCTGATGAATCCACTGACGCAGTCTTGCTGTGGGAGGAGTAGTGTTCAAGGCTTACCATGGAATAACTCCCTATCACAGGAAGCTTCCTGCCAGAGCTGAAGAGACTAGGCTTGCCAGCACAGCAATTGTGCCATAAAGTGTTATACATAGTGTTTATTCTCGGTTTAAAAATATAACTTAAAAGTCAGAAACTTACAGTAAAATATTTACATTTGCCTAATAATGATTGACTTGCATATACATAGTTGTCTACGAGTACTTTATCAGTATTGAACTTACAAAGAGGTAGAAATGTATTTGTGGTGTGATTTAGCCAACTTCAGATAAATCCATAAATTGAGGTCAAAACTACCTCAAATACGTGCTAGCTTTTAGTATGATTTAAAATCATACTAAAATTCTGGGGCTCTAAATCGCTCTGCAGACATGGAATGAAAACAAGTTGTATTCCTCCCTGCCTCTAGAGATAGGAAAGTACTTAAAAGTCTCTTCGGAGATTAAGAACCATTTAGCACATTCACATAACATCTGCCTGTGTTTCTAGTAATTTACTAGCACTAGAAAAAACTATAAAAGGTAGTGAATTAAATCCATCTTGATCTATTACTCCTCTTTATTGCTCAAATGTTTGCATTATTGTTGCTCATAGACTGAGCCAGTGAGATCCTGAACTAAACGAAGGCAGGTGCAGTATTAGAATAAAGATTTTCAGGGGGCAGGGGACTGGGCTGGGAGAAGAAAGACTTAAAAAGGTACAATAGGCAGACTAAATGAAGAGTTTAGGTCATCATGATGATAGGAAATGCATCTTACACAAATAAAAATAATAGAATAAAAATTACTTAGGCAAAGTAGTTGTACTGTTTTGCTTTGCCAAGGCTGAGTAACATAGAACCCCCTGGTTCCACTGTCCCATGAGTTTAATGAAAGCATTGCAGTTTGAAGAGCACAGCTTCACACTTAGAGGCTTTTCATTTCTAAAACCCAAAAAGGTAATTTATGATCCAGAATATTTCCATATATCCTACCATTCACAACCCACATTTCCAAATGAGCTCCATCTGCAGGCTGGACCTAGACTAGGAATGACACACAGCAAGTACTTTGTCCCAGTTGTAACTGGCTCACTCCTGAACTCTCCCACACCTCACGGAAAAGGCAATGAGTCTCTTGTAAACTGCTCCCACAAGGGTGATGGTGAGCACCACCATCCCACACACAAGGCTGAATGCCCATCTCGGTCCCAAGTATGTATACACGTGGCTGATGAACACAGGCCCAAGAATCCGTGCTGCACTTCCAGATGCTGTTAACCAGCCCATGTACACACCCTGTGCGGGGGGAGAGGTGGAAGACAAACATAAATATTTAAGTTTAATTATTTTAAAGAATGCTGCCATCACTAAGCTCAAGAATCACTCTACCTTTAACAATAAAAATGTCTATAATAAAGCAAATAGTGAATAACAAACATTTGTTCCAGCACTAGGGAGGCTGAGGCAGGAGGAGCATGAGTTTCAGGCCAGCCTTGACTACATAGTGAGACCCTGTCTCAAAAACCAAACAAATATGCAAGCTTATTCCAGTAGAGAAACATTCACTTCTACTCTGAAAATGTAAGGCTATCAGTTTATTTACTTTTTGAGACAGGGTCTCCCTGTGTAGCCCAGGCTATCCTTGAACTCAGTACCCTCCTGCCTTATCCTAATGATTTCTAGGATTACTGGCGTGTGACACCACACCTGGTTCAGTTTAATTTTTAAAGAGGAAGATACTATTTTCATTTTGTGACCATTTAAATAACTGCTACTAAAAAAAGTCAGAAACCCAGAAAACAGTCTAAATGTACAAGAATAGAATTCTGAACAAATGAGGGTACATGTAAAATGAATACAATGTTTCCGTTAAAAATAATCCTATAAAGGGAAAGTAAATAGCATGCAACAACATTCACAACTCATGACAGTACTTTTTAGTAGGTTTACAAGAGTATCCGCGCCTAATCCACATTAGGTAAAAACACCCACTCAGAGGCAGAGATGAAGACCGGAAATGGAAGCCTCTGTACTTACCTTCATTTTGCCTTTATGTTTTTCTGATTTTATATAAGTAAGAGTTTTTATGTTTCCTATTTATGTATGTGGCACTGGGGTCAAACCCAGGGTTCTCTACCACTGAGGTAGACTCCCAGTCGCTGACATTCCTATTTAAAATAGCTGTGGACTGGGATGTAGGTCAGTGGTGGGTTCCATCCCCAGCACTGCCAAACAAACTTACTTTAGCAGAACATGGTGGCTCGTGCCTATAATCCAATGCTCACAAAGCTGAGCAGGACCATGAGTCATTAGCCTGGGCTAATAGTGAGATTCTGTCCCCTAATTTTAAAATATACACAGCTACTTTTATGACGTAGCTCAGAGTAGGGTGCTTCCCTAGCACCTGCCAAGGACCAGGATTTGATTCCCAGCACCATGAAAGTAAAATAAAACATACACACCTGCTATAAAGCTTTGAGACTGCTGTTTCCATATTAGTAATTGCCCCTGGTGCCCAATGAAATTAAGCCTAGCTGCAAATGTGGCTATCAACTTTGGTTCTCTTACTGCTGTCTAGTTTAATAATGGTGCAACTGGTAAGAGCTCCTGTCTAGCAAGCAGGAGGCCCCTGAGTTCAAATCCCAGTATCACCAAAAACAAACAAAAAAAATTTTAGAAATTTATGCTGCAGATATTTTTCAGTTAAAATGATTCTGAACTTATAATCACTGAGTTAAGACATCTTTGAGTTCTAATTATGTATACTGTTTGTTAAATTTTAACATATAAATCATGTAAACTCTTTAGAAAAGTTTTTTGTTTTTGTCTTTTAAGCTGGGCATGGTAGTCATCACTCTAATCCTGGCAGCAGGAGGCTAGGGTAGGAGATCAGGAGTTGGAGGCCAGCCTGAACTAGACAGCAATTTGTAGACCAGTTTGGAACATAGCACGAGCTTGTCTCAAAAAAAAAATTGTTTTAAATTTAAAATGCTAAATATGGAAAAATCCCCCAAATCAGCTTGTGATAGAGAACAGTAGCAAAAAAGGTGAGGGCTACAAGTACATTCCACAATTGCAAGGTCAGGACAGCTGGCTCACCTGAGGCTTTGGTCCCAGAATCTTTGAATAGAGCGTGTACGACATCACATTACAAGCTGGATAGCCTACTCCGATTAGCACAGCTGACGTGAGGAACTGGGCCAGGTGGATCACCGGGGTGTACAGGCACCAGGCTTGGTCCACTGGGCAGCCCGTTGGTCGTGCATCATGACCTCCTCCTGGAGACTTCCAAAGACCAGTAATAATTTCCCCAAATGTGGTATTAGGGACTGAGTTATTATGTAAATCTGTAAAAGCAAAGTCAATATAGTGTATGACTTGTTAACTTTAGATATATACAAGGGCTAACATTGTAGAAATGTATGCTTATACCTTCCCACTGTATTTTGGGAAGCTGATTTCCCCAAGGTAACAAGATAAAGAAGCCAACCCACACAAGGATGAGTCCTCCCAGCAGAATCACACGCTCGCCAATCCTGTCAAGAACAGAAACTGTGATTTTAAAAGGAAGAATTATAGTTCCAGTACTTTCATAATTTAAAAACTATAAATAAAATTTTAATATAATTATAGATTATGTATCAATTAATATGAGTGCTAAATATTATTCCCCAATAAAAACAACTCAAGCCAGGTGTGATGGTACATGCCTGAATCCCAGCACCTGGAGAGGTGGAGGCAGAAGAATTGTGCGTTCAAGGCTAATCTGAGCTACAAATTGAGATCCTGTCTCAAAGGAGGAAAAAATGGGGGGGGGGGGCTGGGGATGTAGCTAAGTACTACAGCACTTACTTAACATATTCAAGGTCCTGGGTTCAATCCCCAGTACTGGGGGCGGGGAAAAAAAGGCATATTAAACCAGGCATGGTGGTGCACACTGTGATCGCAGCACTTGTGTGCTAGGCAGAGGGATTCAGAATTTGATCCAGCCTGGTTGCATAATGAGTTTGAGGCCAGCCTGGACACGTAGTGAGACCCTGTTTCAAAAAAAGTGAAAACAACAACAAAAAAAAATCAGCTCAGACTTTTCTGAAAAATGACTGATTTCCAGACTGGGACAGAAAATCCAGAAGGAGGCTTAGAAATCTCATACCAGAAAGAACAAAGGCTATCAGTGAATATGAAGTCATGAAGAAAGCACTCACCAATCGGAAGAAGCTGGTCAAATATGTGACAATGTGAATACCAAAAATAATGATAACAATGGGAGCTGGGTTTGGTGGTTCATACCTGTAATCCCGGCACTGGGGAGGCAGAGGCAGGAGAAGCACGAATTCAAGGATAACCTAGGCTATGAGATCCTGTCTCAAAAAAAACAAAAAGAGCTGTTGAAAAATAGGGGGTTGGAGGTAAGGAGTAAGGGAGAGTAATGGAAGGCATTAAATGGACCAAAGTAAAGTAGACTCACAACAGGGATACATCGAGAAACCCCTTTGAACATAGAAATTAATAATGAAAGACAGGACTGTGAAATAGGTACAGTGGGGGAGACATATGTGGGGGGAAGGGTGAACGAAGGAGATTAAAGTGAGGGAACAGGGTTGATGAACTTTGTATACTTAAAATAGAACAAAGAAACTTCTTGCAATTGCTTTAAGTGGGGCGAGGAGGAGGCTGGGGGAGAGATAATAGGGGTGACTTAAACAATATACAATATAAACCTGTTTGGAATTATCATAATGAATCCCTCCTGTTCATTGGATGTAAGTTTTATGATCTAGGAATTCAAGACAGTATCTCTTTTTTGGGAAGTTCTGGGATTGAATCCAGGGCCTTGTGCATGACAGGCAAGTGTTCTACCACTTGAGCCATGGCCCCCGCCGTAAGACAACATACCTTTTGATGTAAGCTCATGATACCACCTGTATTCTTGCTAAAAAAAATTTGAACCTAAATTCATTAAGCTTCTACATCTAAATATCAGTTTTGAAGAAATACAGTAAACAGAGGAATATGTTAAACACCACAGTAATGAAATCAGCAAGATCCAAAATGAGGAACACTATAATGCAGACATCATGTCAGAATACAAAGAAAGATCCAGATGAAGAAGAAACCTACTGATTAAGAAGTGTAAGACTGGCCAGAGATGGAGCTCAGTGGGAGAGCAACTGCCTAGCAAGAATGAGGGCCTGGGTTCGATTGATTCCCCAGGAATGTAGTAAGAAAAAAAAATAGACTTAAGAATTAAGAGCCTAAGTCAGGTGAGCAAACTGAGGCTGTGGTGGAAATCTGAATGCTGTCTGGATATTGGATGGTTAACGTTTTAAGATGTGATAGCAATGTCATCACTAACTTCTGGAATCAATGAAATATTTGTGGAGGACAGGAAATGATGTATGGGATCACCTTCAAAATAATCCAGGTGCAGGAGAAGAAAGTGTGGACTTGTAGAAGTATAGCTGAAACAAGACTGTCAGAACTGTTGAAGCTGGGATGGAGATTAGAGATACAATACACACTGCTCTCTAGACCTTTGTGCACGTCAGAAATTGTGTATAACAATAAAACACGCAATCAAAACCAAAGGCTTCCAAAAGCAAATGCAATAAATATAAAACAAACAAACAAAACAAAACCCAAGCATCCCATCACCCTCAGAATACCAACAGGCTTCACATACTTCAAACCTGATCTACCCTTAACTATTTCTGCAGCTCTGCTCTGGTCAAACCACACCCCTTCTTGTTCTTATGACACAAGCTCAGTATTCTGGAGAAGAGCTCCAGGCCACTGCTCAGGCTGTCCCTAACTTTACTACCATCCCTGCTTGAACATAACTTGTCAACACCTTCCAGAGCAGTCTATCCGATTTGTCACTCTCTATCCTTGTCAGGTGTCACTCTCTTCCTCTGCTTTGCTCCTCTTCAGAGTTCACATTTGTGTTTTTTGGCTTTCCACCACTAGAATGCAAGCTCTTTGAAGCACAGAACTGGACATAGCACTGCTCTACTTTTGTGGCAAGATATAATACATTTGCTATGACTTAACTTAAATACAAAGCAGCATCTATATCTCTATCCCTGTACGTACATCTCGATGCATCTGTCTGGCTCCATAAGGACAGGGATCTTCACAATATCCGCCATAGCTGCTGACCCTATGTACTGACTCAGTATGTGTTGATTGACTTTATCAAGTCTTCTAAGAATAACTAAACCATTAGCACTATCTGACTTTATCAACTAACATTCTACATTAAACTACGTGACAGAACTTAATTTTACATAAACATTTCCCAAAATTGTGCTACTTATAATTTTATAAAGTGATCCTTTAAAAAAAAAAAGCTACTGAGTCAAAGAGCACAGAGAATATGTAGCACAAAGAGCTACAAATCATATTTGCCATGATGAAGAATTGCTTTTTTTAGACAGGGTCTTCTTATGTAGCCTCAGCTGGCCAGAATCCCATGATCCTCCTGCCTCATTGTGTGGAGTGAAGTTCAGTACTTTTTGTTTTGTTTTGTTGGGTTCTGTTTTGACACAGGGTCTGGCTATGTACCCCAGGCTGGCCTTGAACTGTTGACCCTCCTGCCTCCTGAGTAGCTGGGATGATAGGCGTATACCACCCACAACCAGCTCAGTTGAGTAACTTTAGTCAGAATTTTCCAAACTTAATGACTGAATCTTTTGTGTTACAAGTTTTACCATAGATGACAATGTTTTATGAAATACACTTTTAGAAATACTTTTCAAAAAGCCTAATATACAGGAGATGTATTAGTGGACAAATATTTACTTTGAAAGATATTTTTGCTTTACCCAAGATAATGCCACAGAGTATGGGAACATCACACTTTCTTAATAAATTCTGTATCTGTTTTCAAGAACTGTAACATATAATGAAAAGAAAATTTGAGATTATTTCACTAGGACATTCATTTTCACTGTTAGCTCTGTCCCATGACTCATTTTTTAAAAAACAGATGTGAGACAAAAACCAAAAACATGTAACTTACTTTTTGGAAAGTAATTTAACCCCAACAAAAATAAGAACTGCCTCAACTCCAAGAGCAGCGAGTATTATTCCATTGTACAGTACGGCTTGTTCTTGAGTCCAAGCGTACATGTCCATTGTCAGAGGAGTAAGTATTCTGAGAAAGACAAAAGATGAAGGACTTGTATTTTATTGAATCATAGTGACTGTTACTTATAATTAAGTGTATGTTCAAGAATTTATATCCCTTTTAACAATGACACAAACACATTTTGTTGATCTATACTTAATCCTGACTTCACTTTTATTTTTATATTAATTTTAATTATTTAATAATGGAGTCATCTTGTAAAAAAGTCTGAAACACAGGAAAAAGAAACAAACCAAATCAATCATAACCCCTGCATTCTAACTAAATAATCACGGTTATGGTTTGGTTTAAATCGATCTCTTTCCTTAGCGGAACTCGGATTTTTTTTTTTTTGGCAGTACTGAGGTTTGAACTAAGGGCCTTGTGCTTGCCAAATAGGTGCTTAACCATTTAAGCCACTCTGCTAGCCCAACTTTGAACTTTTTAAGATGGGGCTCGGCAGTGACTAGCTTCTCTGTGTAGAGTTATTTGTACATAGTGACCAGTGCTCCCCACTAAGAAGCCTTTGGAGGGCTGGGATGTAGCTCGGTGGTACAGCACTTGCCCAGCATGTGCGAGGCCCTGGGTTCGATCCCAGCAACAAAAAAGAAAAAAAAAAAAAAGCCTTTGGAAAGGTAAATTTTAAAAGTTGTCATGTTTTTCAAAATCAGAAAAAGATTTCCATTTTGCTGAAAACCCACTTTCTGGGTGCTCTTATTTTCTACTTGTCATGGTAGTATGTATGTTACCAGCTGTTCAGGACTGTTCTCCATAACAAATCTAATATTTTAATTAATTTAATTAAAATGTCCCCATCTAGTTCCTTTTATATGATAATATAAACAAAAAATAAACATATTACACTGCTAAAAATAAAAAATAAAATGGTCTGGGTTTTTTTTGGCGGCACTGCGGTTTGAACTCCAGGCCTCACACTTGCTGGGCAGGTGCTCTTAACCACTTGAGCCACTCTACCAGTTGGTCTCTTTTTCAATGCAATAATGTTTCATGGTTAAGTTGTTAGAACCTACTGGACTTTTTTTTTCTCTTCCCTAGTCTCTTCTGTCCCTACCTGTGAATGTGTATACTTTCTCCCTACCTCTGACTCTATTACATGACTATCTCCTGTCTTGCCAAGTTTTGTTTTCCCATAGTCTACTAACTGACTACAAAATGGAAACTATATTTAAAGGTTTTTTTTTAAACAAATAACCAGTATTTTAAACTTTAAAATCTGGGACATTGATGTTAAAAAATAGACTTAAACATACAATTAGCATGTCATGTAGTAAGTCCACTTCTAGGTATGTACACAAGTCAGAAAGACGACGCTCTCACAGACACTGGTGTAGCATTGTTGAAAAGAACCAAAGTGTTTTCCACAGAGAAACGGACAGGTAAAATGAAGTTTATGCCTACAACGGAATGTTATTCACCAGTTATGAAATTCTGATACATGCTAAGGCATGATGAGCCTTGAAAATGTGCTAAGCGAATACAGCAGACCCAAAAATAAAGTTACTGTATGATTCAGCTTACGTGTGGCACCTAGAATAGGCAGATTACTTAAGAGACAGAGGTAGAAGCACAGGTCACCAGGGGCTGGGGTGGCAGGTGGGGAATGACTGTTTGGTGGTGCAGAGCTTCTACTGAGGCTGATGAAGGCTCTGGAAATGGATGGTGCTCATGGTTGCACAACACCATAACTACACTTAATAACAGTGAGTTTTATTTCTTTAAAAATAGTTAAAATGGTAAACTTTATGTTATACATATATTGCAACAATAAGAAATTACCCCAAAATAAAATATGAAACTTTCATATATCTCAGTAATTTTTAAAATAAATACACCAAGCATGTGTGCATGTACTGACATAAAAATGTTGTAATATGAATATATTACAAGTGAATAAACCAGTGTTTCAAATATAATATCACACAACCTATGCAAGCTTAACAGATTGTTTTTTTTTTTCTCTCACAATTGCAAAAAAAAGAAATGGTGCTTGAAAAAATACAAACCAAAATTTTAGCAGCAGTCACTCCATTTAAAGGAGAAAATGGAGAAATGCAGTATTTTTACAGTAAGAATGTACCATTTTATAATCTGATAGGAAGGTATTCTTAAAGTGAATAAAGGCCAAGGAAGCCTACACAGGCAGTTATTTTTGTTGACACCCTAGTTCTTGTTTCTTTTTCAGTGAAGGATTAAATAGAGCTAAAATTGACAGACTGACTCCTGTATACAACTTATAGAGCTTAAAGTTAGTTGAGTCACGATACAAAATTTATATACTTTTATATCATAAGAAAAATATCCTTATATAAGGGTTTTTTAAGACCATCTATCTACCTAAGTAACACTGCAGTAAGAAATACAGATGTACAAGTATTCAACTTAGGATGAAGACTGAATAAAACTTACGTTTCAAAAAGGGCAAAAATAAATAGCACCACAAAAAATAGAACATTTGTGGCCACAACGGCAACTTGGTCAATATTTCCTTGGGGAATCTGAACTTCATCTGTATTTGCTGTAAGAAATAGAAGAAAAATTACACTTAGTACATACCTAATTTTTCTGTTGATGCTCAAATAATGTGGAAATTTTATGTAGCTAATTCTATGAGTAATTAAAATCATTTTTAGGTCTCAAAGCAGTTTAAAAGTAACAAGATTTATATGACACACATAATTTTTCAATGACATTTAAAAACAAAGTGAATAAATATTCATCCCAGGAGATGTACTGAAATTCTATTATTACAGGAAACACTAAGATCAATTTTCCATTTCCACTTGCAGATTTTTTTCAATCTTAATGTAAATCTTAAACACAATGATTTAATAGCGAATTCAATAAACCAGTGTATCAAGGCAAATCCCTGAGGAGGAATCCCTCTTCCAACACCAAGTGGAGGTGGAAACAGTTTGCTGTACTGAGGGGGAAATAAGCACCTTTGGCACTCAACACAGGCTCTGTCCTTCCCTTCTAATCACACAAAGAGAACTGGCTGCCTCTCTCCACTCTTTTCCAGGGTAGTCCCTGGACTGTTTGGGCAAGCCGTCCCTGACTCTCAGTCATTACCCAGAAGCCTGTCTTGACTGCCCCAGGTTGGACTGGAGTTTACTTCCAGGTGCTCAGTTTCCTGCAGCCTCATCCAGCAATGCCTTGGGTGAGAAGTGTAGAAATGGGTCTAATTCCAAGCACTTGATAAGAACTTGAAGGAAAGGTTACATTAATATATCGATTCAAATGCTAATTAGAAATTATAATCCCATCCCATGACAACCTCTTTAAACTAGAGTACCTTTAAATTTAAACATTTATGCAAGTTTTTAGCAGATGCATTTTATTCAAGCATTTATTAAAATTTAAAAGTAATTTTACATGAAAATGCTTCATAAACTCACTGAGGGCAAGGACCAAGATTTGTTCTTTCAGACAGGAGGACATTCTCCAAGGAGTGCACAATTGGTAAATTATGGCTTATTTGGTGAAATATACCTGCTTACCAGATTGGATACTTATTTATAAGTCAGAGAAAGATCTAAAGGACGAAGATGTGTATTTGAACAATGTAAGAAAAAAACTTTAAAAAGAAATAGCACCTGTTAGCATAATTTAGGGTATTAACAACTACTGGAAACAGAAAGACCACACTTATTGAGCTCACCCCAAAGTGCAAAAGTTTTAGGGTCCTGGATCTTTGAAAGTAAGACAAAGTGAATTACAAAAACACTTGAGGTCAGCACTGGGGTTTGAACTCAGGGCCTCATACTTGCTAGGCAGGCACTCTGCCCCTTGAGACATGCCCTAAGCCCTTTTTGCTTGGGTTTACTTTTCAGACAGGGTCTCATATTTATGCCAGGACCGACCTAGAAGCCCAATCTCCTACTTCTGCACCTGTATAGCTGGGATTACAGACATGCCATCACCATGCCCAGCCCAACAAAGTGATTTTTAGCAATGGTTTCAACCTTGCCAATCATGAACACCAAATAGCTGATATGTCTAAGTGTGTTTTTAAAATAATTTAGTTACCTTTCACCCTGAAGATCTTCCCCAATCACCCACTGTTTTGTCCTCAGAAGCAAAATCCAAGTAAATACCAGACAGAATAATTAGAAACACTTTGATAATGTTAAAGTAATTTACTCAAATAGGCTAACAGTACCTTCCTCAAAATTAATATTTTTACACTGTCTTCCTGAGTCATCCACACGATGTTCTCTTAAAAAGAAAAACAGAAATATTGTATTTATATGTATGGTATAGTTTGTCTTATTGGCTTCCAAGCAATAAAATTATTTCTAACGAATATAAACTAACAAGCTTAAAAATTACAAGTTGTATATTTTGATAGTATTGGGGTTTGAACTCAGGGCCTTATGCTTGCTAGGCAAGTGCTCTACCACTTGAGCTATACCTCCAACCCTTTTTTTTTTTTTAACTTTAGGTTATCTTTTAGATATGGTCTATAATTTTTGCCCCACTTGCCTGAGTATACCTTCTACAGTCTCTGGGGCAACTGGGACTATAGATGTGCACCAACACACCCACTTTATTTGTTGAGAAAGGGTCCTGAAAACTGTTTGCATGAGCTGGCCTATAATCTCAATCATCCTGATCTCTATCACCTGCATAGCTGGGATTAAAGGTCTGAGCCACTGTGCCTGACTTTTTGTTTTTTTTTAAGACAACGTCTCACTATGTTGCCTAAACTGGTCTTAAAAACCTTGGGCTCAAGTGATCCCCTGCCTTAGCCCCTAACATTATTTACAACCGTTTTTATGTAAAGCATCCTAAAGAAATATAAAGTCACAAAACTTCTGTAGTTCTAGAAAATTTCTTCTAATATATAAAAGATTCTACAAGCATGAGGCTGTGTTCAACCCTCAGTACCATCAAAATAAATGTTAAAAGAGAAAAGAAATACATACAAGTAGATTGTGAATTTAAATATATACAAGTAGATTAAAGTCTACAAAATCTACGAAAACACTGCTTTCATGCCATTCCCGTACTTGGAAACATAGTAAATTAAGCAAGCCCACACCTTGACTCTTAATCTGTTCTTGTTTATCTGCTTTTGTTTATCAAGTGTCTTATTATAGTCACTAGTACTACATGCTTTAGCTTATCAAAAACAGACTTCAGAGGGGTAATTACTCTTCTATAAAGACATTTATTAAATTTTACAATCTACAAAAGTAGCTTATTGATTCTATCTAATTACCTTAATATGGCGAGGATCAGAATAATATTTAAAACTCCCAGAATGGCACTAAGTAAAACTGGTGCTGTGTACATGTTTATCTGCAGCTTAATGGTGTCCCATTTCACGCCTTTCTCTCCAATGAGTGCAAAACAAGTCTGAAAAACTAATTAAAATAAAATGTACACAGAGGAATTATTATATGGGAGGCATAGGCTAAAAATATGTGAAAGACACTTACCACAGACCTAGAAGTAACAGGGAATCATCCATCCACATCATGTACTTTCAGTAGAGGCAAGAGACAACTTATTCTTTCTATGTGTAAGGCACAGATATCTGTATAGCATGTTAAATATGTATGACAGACATGTGGAGTTAAAACTTTATGGGGGATTGAGTACTTAGGGGAAAAATGACTTAAAAAATTCTTTAGGGAAACAATGAAAAAAAGCTGAGAAACACTAATGTACACACATACCAAGGATCAGTTTCCTGTATTTGCGGAGAGAAGTGTTGGGGATTAGACTGGACCTTGAGCATGCTAAGCATGATTCCATCACTGAACTACACTCTCAGTCCCAGCATCTTCTTTAAACAAACAAGCAAAAAAACTATAGGAAATTTTATATAATTTGTTCAATAAATTATAAGAGGTTAATCAACTTCTAAGAAAGAAAGCATCATATTTTAGGTTCAGAGATTCTAAGATTCTAAATATCCTTGTGTATGTGGTACCTAAATTACATATAGTTAACATCACTTAAAATTGGAGCTGTAGGACTGGCTGTGTGGCTCAGTGGCAGAGCACTAGCCTAGCACATGTGAGGCCCTGGATACAATCCCAAGCACTGTTAAAAAAAAAACAGGGGCTGGCAGAGTGGCTCAAGTGGTAGAGCCTGCCTAGCAAGTAAGTATGGGGCCTTGAGTTCAAACCCCAGTACTGCCCAAAAAAAAGGATCTGTGCAAAATTATATTGAATAGTACAGTAGCACAGGTTTGCTCTCCTGATTTAGATTTTATATGCAGCAACAATTTGAATGCAATCTCGATGTAAAGCACGTATGTTGGTGCTTGCTAAGAATGACTGGAGAGTCTCTCAGCTTATGTCTATTCATCTACAACACAAAACGACTACAGAACACAATTGGTGAAATCTTTTTCAGGGAGTCAATAATACTTTTTGGGGACTTAAGTCTGTATCAAATGCTGTGCTATATACTGAGGGAAGAATGAAAGATAAAAAGACCCAAACTATGTTCTCACGCATTTTACAACACAGCACGGAGGTGCAATTATTCTACATTTACGCCCCTGTTTGTTCCAGAATACTAACACAAAAAATATTAGATTTGGGTAAACCTATGAATTAGACACTCTTCTGTTGAGCCTTTTAACTAATTAATGTATTTTTTGGCTAAATAGAAGTAATGGAAACTGAGGGTAGGGGTGAGGTGTTAATGATGAAATAAACTGAGTCAGATTCAAACTGGTAATATTCATACCTACACTGTTTGAAGCACTGGCCAATTATATGGTTTCAATATTACTGTAGGCATAAAAATGACTGATTTCTGTACTTGGCAAAATTAATTTGCCTTGGGAGAGTAGTAAACCTCAATTTTATACTCAGCAAAAAGATGAAAGCTTTTGGAAGAAGACAGTAAACATTTTCAAGTTTTCTTCAAACTTGAAAAATTCTTGAAGTATGTACAAAAGGTAAAAAAATAAAGAACTTCTGATAATTTTTCTCAAATTCTTGGTCTGAAAGAATTTTGTTTCTGGGTTGGGGATGTAGCTCAGCAATCTAGCTCTTGCCTGGCATGTATGAGGCTCTGAGTTTGATCCCCAGCACCACAAACAAAAACAAAAACAGACTTTTGTTTCTAATAGATGGGAAAAGAAAACAAGCCCTTACAAAGCTGTCAGGCTAAATTATCACTTGACAGAGGTTAGAAAGGGTTAGGTCTAACCCACATTCCCATTTACTATCTCGGTTGACTTTGGTGACCTCATCATCTGTAAAAGGGGACAGGTAGCACTTAACTTACAGAACTGGTGCCAAGATGAAATGAACGTGGCCTCACCGCTCAGTCCTAGGGACATGGCTCAGTGGCAGAGTGCTTCCTAGCACGAATGAGGCTCTGGGTTCCATCCTCAGTACCACAAAAAGATCCATACATCTTTTGAGTTTCCCACCTTTTCCCTTTAGCCACAGGTTTTAAATTTGGATTACATTTAACATTTGAACCTCAAAGGTTTTTCCAGTTCAAATTTAAGTAATGCCAAGTGAAGAACACCTACCTGGACCCAGAATAAAACCTAATGCTTGACATGTGCTTGTATTTGCCATGGAACTTGTTCTTTCCTGAAGAGAAGTAGCACCAGCAATATATGATCTAACAACCGCCACGTTTCCTAAGAAAAGATACAATAATCCAAGGTAAAGGAAAATATCCTTCCAGTTAATTTGGCTTTCTACAGATGAAACACATTAACAGTTCTGCTTCCTCTTCAGGATCATAGAAAGCATGTTAAACAAATCTGTCAATTAATGGAACAGAGTACTTTTACTAATATGAAAATACAGGCCAGGAGCAGGTAGCTCATGCTGACTACTTGGGAGACTGAAATCAGAAGGATCAAGGCCAGCCTGGGCAAACAGTTCAAGAGATCCCAGCTCTAAAATAACTAGAGCAAACTGGACTGGAGGTGTGGCTCAAGCAGCAGAATGCCTGCTTTGCAAAAGTGAAGCCCTGAGTTCAAACCCCAGCCCTCCAAAAACAAAATAAAATGAAAAAAAACCCACAGTTTTAAATAAATTTAAGAATATCACTGGACACTGGGGGCTCATGGCTGTAATCCTACCTACTCAAGAGGCAGAGACCAAAAAGATTGAGGTTGAGGCCAGACTGGCAAATGTTCTCAACACCCTATCTCAAAAACACTCAACACAAAAAAGGGCTGGCAGAGTGGCTCAAGTGGTAGAGTGCCTGCCTAGCAAGCTTTAAGCCCTGAGTGTAAACCCTAGTACCAGCTGAGCGCTGGTGGCTCACGCCTATAATCCTAGCTACTCAGAAGGCAGAGGTCAGGAGAATCACGGTTCAAAGCCAGTCTGGGCAAATAGTGCATGAGCCCTTATGTAAAAAAAAAAAAAAAAAAACCTTCACAAAAATAGGGCTGGTGGAGTGGCTCAAGGTGAAGGCACTGAGTTAAAACCCCAACACAGCCAAAAAAAAAAATCAGACTTTTTTTTTTACTGCAAGAAAAAAAAAAAAAATCAGACTTTTTTTCATTAAACACCCAGAAAGCTCTGAATAGCATTCAAATGATTATTATCATTTAATTAAAAAGAAAGATGCTACAAACTACATACATTGACCTGTAATTTAAGAAACAGAAAAAATTCACTAACAATTTAACTCAAAAATTTTATTCAACACTTATTATGCTCAAGAGACTTTGCTAGAAGCCACAGAATATTAAACTCTCTTTAAAGGCAAAGGCTCACTATCTGATTGGTGAGAAAGGATGAAAACAGTGCAAGACTATTAGCAAGTACCAGAGACAAAGCAGAAAAGAGAAAGATCTACTAAGAGGTGGGGTAGCCTGAGAGGACCACACACTTAGTCCATGGAGTTAAATTTGCATCTTGGAAGGTGAAGAATCATGGGAACAAAAGAGAACCTATAGGTAACGGGAACATCATGAGCAAAGGAAAAATGACAGGAAAGACTTGTCTTTAGGAGGAGAGAGCTGTATGTTGAACTATGTGATATGAGAACAAGAGGTTGGTGGAGTGGCTCAAGTGGTAAGAACACCTGCCTAGCAAGCGTGGGGCCCTGAGTTCAAACCCCAGTGGTGCCAGAGAAAAAAGTGTTGGGAAAATGAGAAGGAATAAAAAAGGTGAGGCAGGGCTAGGAAAATAAGGAGGATTGTCAACTTGATATGACCAAACACATACATGCAAACACATTACCTGCTCCAAATCCCACCAGTCCACGAGCAACCAACATGTAGTACTTATTATGGGAAGCTGGGACGTGGACATACGCATACAGGCAGTTGGCTGCCACGGAAATAAAGATGGAGACAATCAGAGGTTCTTTTCTTGGCCTATAATTAGACCATAAACCAAATATAGGTGATGCTACCATTTGGCCAAGACTAAATGAAGCAATAACCCAGCCCAAAAAACTTGCATCGGCTGTCTGATCAATCTGCAGAAAAAAGTACAATGCTTTAAGAATTGTTATCCAAGAAAAGTGTTCAGCTTTTGGTAATTATGAATAAAGCTATGTAGACATTTGTTAAAGTTTTCAAATCAGCTGGGTAAATACCTAGGAGCATGACTGCTAGACTGCAGTAAAATGCCAAACTGCATTCCAAAGTGGCTATGCCATTTCCATTCCTACCTAGAACCCTTGCTTAGTCTGGCACTTTTGTTGAAACCATCTCACCATCCTAACGACCCAAGAGGGGAGTTAAGTAAACTGTCTGTAAACACACTGTTACGACACTTGTGCTAATGATAAAAAGATAAGGAAATATAGTTGTCTCTTGGTATCCACAGAAGACTGGTCTTAAAATCCCAGAAGAATACCAAAACTGGTAGCTATGCACATCCTTTATGCGAAATATATTTGCAGATAACCTGCACATATCTTCCATATACCTAATGCAATACAAATGCTCCATAAATAGCTGTTATTTAGAGAATAATGACAAGAAAGTCTACTACATATTTAGAACAGATGGTTTTCTTTTTTATATAGACAAGCCTTCTGACCCAAACTGAGGCTTTCCAGAGGAGGTGATACTAAAGCAAAGACCTGAAAATTAGGAAGGAAGGAGGAAGGTGGGGGAAAGAAAGAGAATGAAGGAGGGAGGAAAAGCATTCCAGAAAAAAATGTACAAAGACATGAGGAGCCTGGTTCACTTAAGTAGATGCGTCCAATAAATTGTTGGTTATATATCTAACATAAGCCAAAGCTCAGGAATGAGTTGATAAATAAGAATACACAAAGAATTTAAGAATAAACAATGAGGGTTAAGAGAAAAGCCAGGACAGAGCAATGCCATGGGCATTAAGAGATGGTTTCAGGAAGTAGGGAGAGGACATCAATGTTAAGCATAATCCATTTGTCACCTAAACTAAGGACTGAAAAGAATACCAGACATGTATAGACTTTTCTCTTGTCATTACTCTCTAAACATAAAGTTTAACATCTTACATTATACTAGCATTATACATAATCTGGAGATGATTTAAAGTATATGCAAGGACATGTGCAGACTACATGCAAACACTGTATCATTTTATAATAGAGACTTGAACATTCACAGATTTCAATACCTCTGGGGGGGGTCCTAGAAAACAATCTTCCAGGAAAAGCAAGGGACAAATATATATTACCTATTCTATACACAATGTTTCCTCAGAACCCAAATTAATTCTGTGGGAAAACCATGGCATTACTCTTCAAAAGTATCATCTACACATTTTGGGAATTCAGACTATATCTAGTATAGTTTCCTTTTTTACTAGGGAGGAAGAAGAGATGGGATGTAAGATGGTTTCTAAGCAGGTAACAACACACCTACTTTTGCCTATGACTGTCAGGCATAGTCACATATCCCTGGCACAGCACCCTTTACTTCACAGGAGTTCCTGTTTGCACAATAAAGACTATGGGCACCTCATGAAAGCCTCTTTTGAGATTATTCTAGTAGAGATTAAACTACAGAATACCAAAGAGACCCTCTAGAAAATGTTCAACTACTTAAGAGTCACCACTACTACAGTTACTACAGAGAAGAATACATTGAAATGTACAAACCTTTTGGAGATATGGCCATATTGACATTATCACAATAGAAAACCCTGTGAAGAGGCAAACATGGTTATTTATAACAACTTAATCATTATTACAGATACAAATTTTCAAAGTATAGCATGGATTTTAAAATATCATTCTGAATCTACAAATTTATACACACAAATACCTAACTTATAAAGCAGTGAGATTTTAGTTATTGAAAGGAAAATAAATGCTTAAGACTGGAAAAAAACATATAATTATACTTCTTGACTATAATTAATACAGTAACAGTAGAAGACTTATTTTCCTTCTCATGTGCCTTTAAGTGGAAATTACTGATGGTTTTGTTAAGTTTTATAGCAGACATGAATGGGAGAAAGACTACTGTACTTGATACAAAGTGTGAGGCTTGTAGCCTGAATTGTTTGGGAAAGACAAGCCATTTTGAGGGAGCTGTGGCTGTAAAGAACCACATACTTCAGAAGAAAACTCATTATTTCTGCTAGCCTTTACTGCCTGAGAACTGTGAAGATGATAAACCCAGTGCCATTTGTCAACTTTATTTATTTATTTGCTTATTTTTTCTTTTTTGTGGTGCTGTAGATCAAACCCAGTGCTTTATTCATACCAGGTAAGTGCTCTACCACTGATTTACAACCCCAGCCGTATTTGTCAATTTTAGATGTTAGACAAATACAATCAGTAATTATAAAAAGCTTATTTAAAAAAACAGCTTTATAACCAGGCATGATGCCACATGCCTATAATCCAAGCACTTGGGAGGCTGAGGCAGGAGGACTGTGAATTAGAGGCCAGGATGGGCTACATACGTATCCTGTCTCAAAAAGAGTAAAGCTTCACTGAGACATAATTCACATACCATACAATTCACCCATTTAAAGTATATAATTCGGGGTTTGGGTGCTTGGCTCAAGTGGTAGAGCACCTGTGAGACCCTGAGTTAAAACACCAGTACTGCCAGAAAAGAAAAAATAAAGTTTAAACTTTATAATTGGCAGGGTACAGTGGTTCACACAGGATGAGAGATCAGAAGAATCATATTTCAAGGCTAGCCCAGGGAAAAAGTTAGTGAGACTGCATCTCAACAGACAAGCCAGGCATGCTGGCTCAAACCTGCAATTCCAGCTAAACAGAAGAGTAGGTAGAAAGATAATGGTTCAAGGCCAGTCCAGGCAAAAGGGGGCCACAACTTACTACCTATAAAAGCCCAAACCCTTTGCCAAGCGTGGTGGCTCATGCCTGTCATCTTAGCACACAGGAAACTGAGGCAGGAGGACAGGATTTTGAAACTAGCCTGTTTTTTTGTTTGTTTGTTTTTGTTTTTTGTGGCACTCAGCCTCACACTTGCTAGGAAAACACTCTACCATTTAAGCCACTCCACCAGCAGCCTGGGTGACATAATAAAACCCTGTCTAAAAAACAAAGAAAGCCCAAGTCTTGTTCACTTCTCCACAATTTATTATCCTTTGGTAAAGGGCATAAATATCAGAGTCTAACCACTTCTTTGGGGTTTCACTTTTCTATTAAACCCCATGTTACATTAAAAAATATTAACACCAGGGCTGGTGGAATGGCTCAAGTGGTAAAATGCCTGCCTAGCAACCATGAGGCCCTGAGTTCAAACCCCAGGACTGCAAAAAAAAAAAAAAAAAATTAACATGAAATAAATTTGAATTTTTTTTTCCTGTAAGTATCTTTTGTCAGCTTAGTTAGGATAAAGGACAAGTTCCTCCCTGACAATCCGTACAACAAACTACGATTTAGCCTTAAAAAGGAAGGAAATTCTGACATGGATGAGTCTTGAGAACATTATGTGAAAAGAGATAAGCTAGTGAGAGAAAGTAAAAGACTGTACCATCCTCTGATTGAGGTTAAATTCACAGAAGTAGAAAGCAGAGTGGTGGCTGCCGTGGTCGGGGAGGGAGAAACGGGGATGTAGGAGTGTAAAGTTTCAGTTTTGAGAGATGAAAATGTTCTAGAGACTACACAACAATGTGAGTACACTTAATACTAGTGAGCATAAAAAGGGTACAATGGTAAATTTTATATTACGTATTTCAGCGCAATCAAATATAACCTTAGAGTATTAAATGAGGTTAATGTATATGTTGTTTAAATTATAAGAATTCTCTGTGACTTGTACTACTTACCTACACTGCTTAGAAACATGGTAAGATACAGAACCCTAATGGATCTCCATCGGCTCTTGTAATGCTCTTCACTTTCTGTGCCATCCCATTCTCTAGGCAGAGAAAAAGGTAATACAAATTGAGCATCCCTAATCTGAAAATCCAAAATCAAAAATAATGGCATGATACCATAGCTGGAAAATTCTACACATGACCTCACAGGACACGCTGCAGTCAAATAATGATTATTTAAAATCACTTTAAGTAATTCAAAATCTGGAAAAATCCAAAATCTGAAGCACTTCTGGTCCCAAGCATTTCAGATAAATTTATACAATTTGAATATCCCTTATCTCATTATAAGCAGATCTTTATATATAAGTAATTTTATCTTCTCTTCCCTAGAATGATAGAAATTTATTAATACTCATTTCTGCTGCTCCACTAACTCATCTGTGAATAAACATTATTTTTTAATTTCCATGGACTACATTTATATATCATTGTATACATGTATCTGGGAGACACAAGATATTGTTTTATCTATCACTGGTTGATGTGTACCTAGGCTGATTCTGTAACTTGGCTATTGTGAACAGTGCTGCAACAACATGGGTGTGTAGGTGTCTCTACTGCATGCTGAGTTACAGTCCATCAGAAACATGCACAAAAGTATATAGCAGGATCGGATGGTAGTTCTATTTTTAGCGTTTTGAGGAATTTGATACTGATTTCCACAGTGGCTACACTAATTTACATTCTCACCAATAGTGTATGAGAGTTCCTTTCCCCAAATCCTCACCAGAATTTGCTGTGTATGTTCTTGTATTCTGACAAGGGTGAGATGGAATCTCAATGTTGTTTTGATTTTCATTTTCATTTCCTTTATGGCTTAAGGATGTTGAACATTTTTTCACATGTTTATTGGTCATTTGTACATATTCTTTTGAGAACTGTCCAATTCATTTGACTACTTATTAATAGGATTAATAAGAAAAGGTATGCACCATTCAATCCCAGAGCACAGGTTATAGTATCAATTCAAGACACTGGGTTAATATTACACTGTTAGTGAATCCATTACTATTTTCTGGAGATTAAAAATTAAATGCATAATCGCTCAATAAAAGGTACAATTAAATCAGTCTGAAAAGTTTCAAATAACTGTTTTCCTCAGATCTTATCTAAGCTAGGGAATTGAGAAGTAAACAATTTAATTATGAAGCTAGGCATGAGTGGCTCACTCTCAGGAGACGGAGAGCAGGAGGATTGAGGTTCAAAGCCACCTCAGGCAAATAGTTTGAGGGACCCTATCTTGAAAACAAACAAACAAACAAATCACAAAAAAAGGGCTGGTGGAGTGGCTCAAGGTGTAGGCCCTGAGTTCAAACCCCAGTACTGCAAAAAAAGAAAAAAAATTAATTATGAAAAATGTAATAAAATTAAGAGACTCCAACTTCATTTGGAGCTAAATAAAAAAATCTTTCTTGTCAGACTTGGTGATGTACACCTGTAATCCCAGCATTCAGGAGACTGAGGCAGGAGGATCTTGAGTTTGAGGCCAGTCTGGGCTACATAGCAAGGCCCTGTCTCAAAAAAAAGAAACAAAAAGCTCAACAAAACAACCCACAAACTTTCTTCTTTTAATAGCAGCCTTTAAATATTGAAGGAATGAGAAAATTAAAAATTGTAATTTTGTAACCACTGTCTCTGCAATTGTGGACACATGCCAGGATAATCAATGGGTCCTGAAAGAACTGGATGAAAGATTGTTGAGCAGGTGGAAAAGCTAAGGTCAGTGAAAGGTTACACAGGTGTTCACTGTACTGTTAGCTCAACTCTTCAAACTGATTTGAAATTGTTCAAAATAAAATATTTGTTCCTTTTTATTTTTTTTTTAATCCTTGCACCTTCTTGGAGAGTAGAAACATAACTTTCTTCAATAAATTTATCATACTTTTTACATCTTTTTGATTTTGATGATCAAACAAACCTGTTAGATAGCACAGACTAAATTTCCAGACAGTTCTTATATAAGCAGGGGGTATAAGGTGAAATGTGGCACTTCCAAGGTGCCACAAGGTTTAACATTTTTATTACTGTCTATCATCACTGATGAGTCTCATATTACTTCTTATTTATTATTATTCTTTTTTTTTTGGTGAGACTGAGGCTTGAACTCAGGGCTTTCTTTACACTACCAAAGTAGGCACTCTACCACTGGAGCCATACTGCCTGTGCATTTTGTTCTATTTTGATAGGGGGTCTCAAACTATTTGCTTAGGCTAGTCTTAAACCACCAACCTCCTGATCTCAGTCTCCCAAGTAGCTAAGATTATAGCCCTGAGCCACGGGCACCCAGCTCTGGTATTACTTCTCCATTTGTAATTATCCTTCAAGCAAAATTATAGTGCTACAGGGTTTTATCACGTTCAGCATTTCTATTATAAACCATGATCCCCCAAGACACATGCTGATCAAACCAGTGATTTAAAAACCAAGAACATAAAATATACTAGAATGATCTGATTACCAGAATAAGCTACATGAAATTTAATAGGAATAGACAGGTCCGTGGCTTATGCCTATGAACCCCAGCTACTAGGAAGGTGAAGCTTAGAAGGATCTCAGTTTGAGGCCAGCCCAGGCAAAAGAGTAAGCACAACCAAATAAACTGGGCTTAGTGGTGCATGCCTGTGATCCTAGCTATGTGGGAGGCATGGGTAGAAGAAGGAAGTGGTCTAAGTCCTGTCCTGGGCAAAAATGTGACACCTACCTGAAAAATAATTACAACAAAAAAGGACTGGAAAAATAGATGAAGTGCTAGAGTGCCCACTTAGCAAGTGCAAGGCCCTAAATTCAAACCCCAGCATCACAAAAATAAAAATAATAGGAATAAATAAAAAGTGCTCCATTTCAGTTAAATAGATTTAGTATAAGACAAGATTTAGTACAAGGACACTTGACTAAATACCAGTACTATATTTATAAAAACACACCTTTGGATTTATCACTAAAGAACAAAAGAAACCCATATTCAGATAAGAAAAAGAAGGGTATGTTCATTAACAGAACAGTGTAATGCTATAACAGTTATAGAAATAAGCTGAGAATATGCTATAAAGATGTGCACTATAAACTAGTGGTACATGCCTGTAATCCCAGCACTCAGGAGGTAGAGGCAGAAAGATCTTGAGTTCTAGGCCAGCCTTCATTACAGAGCAAGTTTGAGTCCAGCCAGGGCTACATAATAAGATCCTGACTCAAAAAAAGAGAGAGAGACAGAGAGACAGAGAGACAGATAGATGCACTAAAAGAACAGAAGCACCAGTAATGCTCCTTTTACAGAGACTAAAGCAGTAAAGAAAATTTGAAAGTGCCTGTAACATTTTATGCCATTCTAAGAGAGGGATACAAACTATAGTCTACAGGTCAAATTTAGCCCACACCTGTTTCTGTATGGTTTGTGAGCTAAGAACAATTCCTATACATGAATATTTGTTGTCACTGTGATAACAGAAAACTCTTAAGGACCTCTAATTAAAGAAAACGTCATCCCTTTAAAATTCTCTGGCTCTAATTAATGGACCTATGTTACAAAACAATGTACTCACTTATTATTACATTTAAAATTTCATTACCAAAACACTTTGAGGAACTTGTATTCTTGTTCTCTATATATCTATATAATATCCTTGGTTTTGCATCTTGGCCTGTACAAACCTGAAATATTCACCATCTGGGCCCTTACAAAAAAAAAAAAGGTTGTAATCCCCATTCTTTAAATAACACTCTATAAAGGAAGTCAGTGGGAGCACAGGAGACTCAAGAGAAGGAGACATTATCAATTTATAACCAACGTTGTTAGTCAGGAAGGGGTGCTGGCTAACTAGACTCATGTTTGTGCATTATAGTCAAGGAAACAAGGCCTGCCAATTAGTTGTACACAGGCTCAATTTACTAGGGAATGAAACGATGTTTCTAAAGACAATATACTTGTTGGCCTATTACGAACATACTCCCTTTTTATTTTTAAAATGCTACATCTAGAACCACAATCTGAGGAACTGTTTATGGTGAGCAACCTCTAAGTTTAGATGGACCCTGTGAGCATCAGACAGTCACATGGAAGAAACTGAAGCTAGTTAGGAAAAAAAATCTCTTTTTAAGTAGGCCTATTTGGACAGGTTATAGAATGCACAATGTATCATAAACCACATTTAATATGATTAAATATTAAATATTATGTGATCTGTGGAAAAGAAGCAAAAAGGACTGAGAAATACAAATGTCTCAAAGTCTATGCACTTGACTAATAGGAGAGCTCTTTGGCCCTGAGGGCCTCTGGGTTGTAAATGCACAATTCTATTAAGTAAGATACTTGGTCTAACCCATAGTAAACTAGAAGGCTAAAATAAAGCTAGGCTAAAAAAAGGTTACTAAGAGCATCGAAAACAGGTAGCTGACAGATTTCAAAAAACATGCTGAGGGACAGTCTGCCAGGGACAAACCAGGCAGAGAAACCAAAACATGAACACTTTCTTAAGTAGAATGAGTACAGAAGCCAGCACTGCCACGCGCCCCAGAAGGCCTGAAAAACATTGTTCTATTGAAAGGCATTTCAGATTGATGCTCATTTTAACGATCTCAAGATAAGGTCAAGTAAGATACAAATACGTTCCACAAACTCTGTTTAGTAAATCAGGGGACACAGGGTTTCAAAGTGCATCAATTAACAGTTTGTTGCTGAAGAGGAACAAATGAACAAAAATGAAGATTCACACGGCAGAAATTTAACTCTGAATTTATTAATTTACTTAACATAAATACTTGAATAAATGATAATTCTGTTTTCCTCTGGGCAAAAATACGTATTTAATTGCGCAGTGAGACAAAGGCTAAACATTTCTAAAGGCTGCCCATAAACTAGTGTCAGAATAAAATTGTAAGATCAAAATAGCGACATGTTATGCCTTCAATGCTTAGCTTAGTCTTTCTCTCGTACGTGCGGCGAAGGACGAAGGGTGAGCCCACTTTAGACAGACTTATTTGCCAGCAACGCATCAAGAAGTCTGGAGAACGGTCTGCAGGGAGGCTCACAGAACAGAGCAGAACAGAAACAGAAGGTCGGCTGCTGCCCGGGTCGCAGCTCGAGTCACAGCCGCAGCGCGGGCTGTCACCAAGGGGCAGCGAGAAAGACGCCGGCGCGCACGCGCGAGGGGACGGGCGCAGGACGCAGGCCGGCCAAGACTGTCCGCAAATGGGCAGGCTCCAATCAGCTTACCGGGGCTGCTGACCCGGCTGCCGCGGCCTAGTATCCCAAACTTCGATTTTCCGCTATTCCCAAATAAATTCATTAACGGAGAAGCGCCTGTCAGGAATTTCTGAGTCTGTCCACCGCTCCGCGCCGCCCGACGCGCTCCCCTGCAGCGGCACCTGGGAGGCAGCGAGAGCTCGGCCTGGTGCGGTGGACGCCGGGAAAGGAGCGGGTCTCAACCTCGCTTGAGGGCGAGGATACGTCCACGCGTGTCAGCTCACCTGCTTCCGGGTGTACGGTCTCCCAGGAGCGGCTCCTGCTCCGCCTCGATCCTCGAGCTCGCCATGGTTGCTGCCCTTATGAGTGGCGTGCGGCCAACTCTCGCGACACCTGCCGACGTCAATCTCTGGCCGCCCGCAGCCGTCAAAACAAGCCGGCAAGGGGCGAGCGGCTGGCGGCCGGAAGTGGGCGGGGCGTCCGGGGTGAGAGGCGGAGTCGCTCGGGAGGCGGGGTGGGATCGAGTGTACAGGAACTGGGGCGGCGTCCACGCCTCCTGCCCCGCCGCCGGCCCTGGGGCCTGTGCTCCTGCCTCAGCTGGCGAGCTGCAGTACTCGGCTTCGCGGTTCCTGGAGAGGCTGCAGTAGCTGCGGTTGGGGCTCAGGAGAAGTCACGAGAGCGGTGGTGCTGGGAGGCTTGGCCAGCTGGACAGCAGGCGTCCGCCACGCGGCCGGTGAGTAGCGCGCTGCGTACGTGCCAGGCGGCAGGGAGCGGAGGGAGCGCGAGCGACGTGCGGGTCCCGGGCGCTCCGCAGGCGGGTGGCGCGGAAGGGGGCGGGGGGTGCTGCACCTCACGTTCTCCAGCCCCGCTGCGACTGCGCCGGGACCCGAGGTGACGTCCGCCGCCGTCGCCTGCCGACCCCGGCCCGCGCTGAGCGGTAGCAGCAGGAAAACGGTGTTTTCACTAGGTCTGGATGCTGTCCCTTTCCTGGTCCTTAAGAGTTACCTTTTCCCTGCCTTAGCCCGCAGGCTAATCCGGGGCGGAGGTCTCCCGTGTCTGGTAAATTAGCTTTTTGTTAGCGCTAGACCCATTTCCTGTGATTTCATTTGCTCACAGCTGTACTGAGACAGGTGAAGCAGACAAATTTTCATTTTACTGTCAACTAAGACCCAGTTGACTTACTCAGAATCACACCGCGCAAAAGGGGCAGAGTTGGGACCCGAGCTCAGTTCTTTGCACAGACCCCTGACTGTGAAGCCTGTGTTCTTCATCACCAGACTTCCTGTGGAAAGAGTGGCAATGAGACTCTCTTCCTATATCTCTTAAAGATACTAAAGCAAGCACTCAATTTTTATGTAAATGAAATAATTTGCCACTATGCATTAGGTCAAGTACAATTTCCCATTTGTTATTTTGCTGAAGGTCACAGAGCTAGTGGAGGAACCAGGCCTTCTGACGCTACTGTTTTCCATCGCTGCCTCCAAGTGATGACTTCAGACCACAGACACCCCGGTGCTCGCAAAGTCTATAAACAAGCTCTAAGTACTTCTTAGGAACACTCAGGTAGCAACCAAACAAAAGTCAAGTTTGGGGGCTAGAGGAGGGGCTCAAGTGGTAAGAGCGCCTGCCTGAGTACAAACTCCAGTGCTGCCAAAAAAACCAAAGTAAACTTTGGAGCGCAGTTGGGTTTTTTGGGTTTTGGTTTTGTTTTGTTTTCAATAGCCCATCAAAAAGAGCCAAATTGGAAAAGAGCTTAGGTTGATTCTTGGATAGGAGACAGTCCACTTGGTGGGTTTCTTTAGATGACTGTTCAGAATAGATACCCACATTCCTCACAAACCAACTTCCTATCTTTCTGCTTTTCTCCTTTGTAAAAGTAAAAGGAATTAAACTTGTTGCACAAGGACCTTATTGCTAACTGGATATCCGAAGTATGTAAACCCTTTCTTACCTACATAAGCTTGTATTGAAAAGAAGTGATTTAAAAGTAAAGTTACGAAATAAAAATTAGGTCTCTTTTTGGGGAATGAAGGGAAAAGTTCTATATATGGTGGTACTGTTAGAAAATTTCACTTAAGAGCTGGGGCCAGTGGCTCACATCTGTAATCCTAGCTACTTAGGAGCAGAGACCAGGAGGATTGTGGTTCCGAGCCAACCCCACCTGGGCAAATAGTTCCCAAGACCATATCTGGAAAAAAATCCGTCACAAAAAGGTGGAGTGGCTCAAGCAGTAAGAGTGCCTGCCCCGAGTTCAAAATAAAAAGTAAATAAAAATAATTTCACTTATGCCTTTAAGATATATAAGCAATGTGAGGAAAACAGTCCAGAAAAAATTAGGGTTGGTTGTTTGCTCAGGTGCGAGAGAAATGGGAAATAGAGAGTACTAGATGGCGTAGTAGATCCTAGTGCCACTTTAGCAGCAGAGCTCATTTCTAGGAAAGACTTTCTTTCCTTGGCACTATCCCAAGCACTTCTATTTTTGTTTCACTTTGTTTTCCTTCTCCCATTAGCTATAAAAACATAGATGGCACTGTATTGGTTTGGCTTGGTACTTCCTTCAGAAGTGGGTCCTGCTTATGCAGAGCTCACTGGTGTCATTGTAGCTTGATGTGGGGCTTTTAGTGTCTGGCATAGCTCCAGATGGTACTTCCTTTTGGTAAAAAGTACCTGGGCTTAAGAGTATTGTCTGTTTATGGTGGCAGGGAATACTTTGAGGATAGCCAGCCCTGCCTAGAAAGACATACATGTTTAGAGGGTCAGAAAATCCTGGTATTTTATATAGTTGTTGGGTCTGAAATGGCATTTAAGAAGACCTATCTATGTAAGCCCAAATCGCAGAACCAAATATATAATAAGCTATGTGTATGTCTATTTGTCAGTTTATTGCAGGTAAATATAAAAGGAAATAAGCTGACTCTAGACATGGAGTGCTGATGCATGTGACCTGTTACACAGAGTTAAAGTGATTTAGGAAAGTTTTCTAGTGCAGAGTTAAAAATTATGAATGACTGGCTGAGGGAATGGCTTAAGTGGTCGAGCTCCTGTGTAGCAAGTCTAAGGCCCTGAGTTCAAACTCCAGTACCACCACTACAAAAAAAAACTTAGAAATGACTAAACAATTTAGGCATATAATAAGTATAGTACCTTACAAAATACTTGAAAAGTTTATTGTTCTTAGATACCTTCTTGCCTCTGTTGCAACTTTCTACTTCTGTATATTTATCTTACTCTAGTTTTATCTACTACCAACCTGGTTTAGCCAGGTGTGGTGGCTCTTGTCTGTGATCCCAGCTATTCCAGAGGCAGAGGTAGGAGGATAGTGGTCAGGGAATGGACCCTGGAAAAAAACATGAGACCCTATCTGAAAAATAAAAGTGAAACAAAAAAGGATGGAGCATGGCTTAAGTGATAAGAGTGCCTGGCTAGCAAGCACAAGTCCCTGAATTCAATCCCCAGTACTGCCAAAAAATAAAAAATAAAAAGAGATAGAAATCTATAAAAATGAAATGTCAGCAGCATATTACTTTCTTCTTACTGTAAAATGAGTGTTGGATTTTTAATTTAATTTTATATTTTTAGTAACATGGAATCTGCATATTGCTTTTATTCCATGGACATTACAAAGGAAAACTTTGACCTTGGTCTCATTCTTGCCACATTAGAAAAAACAAAGGGCCTATAATAATTGCAAGAGACAATGAAGTCCTGCATTATAATGACATACCACCACTCTGCCATTTAATAAATATTCACACAAAATGTATCAGTGCTATCTATGTCTTACAACAATGCCAGAACGGTCCAAGGAGTAAAATATTAAAATCATTGTGTTGGTCAGCTTTCCATAGCTGTGCCAAAATACTGGAGAAAACCAACTTAAGCCAAGGTAACGTTTATTTTGGCTTACAATTTCTGAGGTTTTAGTCCATGGTCCTTTGACCACTTTAATTTTTGGGTCTGTGATGAGGCAGAACATGGTGACAGGGAGTGTGCTGCAGAGGAAGTCTTTTTCACTCAAGGCTCCTGAGAAGTAGAGAGAGAGAGAGTGCTTGGAGGAACAGGATCTTATATCCCTTCAAGGACATGCCCCCACTGACCTCACTTCCTTCCATTAGCCTCAACTCCTAGCATCACCAAAGACTGGCCACCAAGTCTTTAGCACGTATGGAGGACATTTCAGACCCAAACCATAACAATCATCATTCAGTTCATTATTTTCTTTGTTGCATCCTCCCCTCATCTGAATTTAATTTCTAAAGAACCTGCTTCTTATTTAGAATACGTGACACCAGTTAGGATTTTGTTAATTGGGTAGAGAATAAACTTACTAATCCATTTCTTTTTTTAATCTTAAACTTTTTGTTGTTGTGCTGGGTGGGGGTACATTGTAGTATTTACAAAAGTTCTTACAATATATCAAGTATATAATACTTTTTTTTCAGATAAAATATTACAGGTTTATTTAAAACTTAATTCTCACCTTGAGTATGCAAAATACAAACTCCACAATATGTTCAATTTTTTTACTTTGTAGTTTACAAATATATAAACTAGAAGTTTGCTTAAATTTATATTACATACTTATTAAGGCAAGGAGCTATATAGAAAAGAACACATTTGTTCTGCTTGAGGCATACTTGCGAATAAACCATTGTACAAATTATTGTACATCTGAAACCACAGTGCATTACAGACTGTCTGCATAAAAATGTTAAAGAAATAAAACAGGTGTATTTACCTGACTTAGGTCATATGTGCAGATCGGAAGACAAGAGATTCCTTGTCAAAGTATACAGCAGTTTGAGAACCTTGGCTTCCTCATTTGGTACATTTAGAACCAAGACTCACCAAGCACCATCATTTAGGCTAGTGGAACACATTTTTCTGTACCTGAATTTCTTCCTCTTCTTCTAACAAAATAATGGCTTTTAGAAGGCAAAGGGAATACAAGGTGATCTTTATATATTTGGATTGCATTGAAACAATTCAAGGGAATTCTGCTCTTCCCTCCCCGCAACTCACGAATCTTTTATACTTGAATTCACCCCCTCCACCATTTCCTTCATTCCCACTTCCCCCTTACTATCTATTTCTACCCCAACTGGGTATGTACTTTAGTTCAGTTCTGACAGTCAGCAATCTGAGAGTCATTGCAGACTCCCCAAGTTCAGGGCACAGTCCTCCGGATGCCAGTCACACTCAGAAGTCTCTAGGCCTCCAAAAGGGTGGCGTGGCTATAAATTTAAAGGTTCTTAAATTCCTTGTGAGTCAATAATTTGCAAGAATAACTTGTAGGATACTTACGATTACAACTTTATTATAAAGCATACAACTCAGAAACAGCCAAATGAAACACATGAGGCAAGCAGTTGTGTAGCTGCTGTGGCCTCTCTCTGGAGTCAGAGAGCATCACCTTCCCAACACATCAGGACATTCATCACCCAAAATGCTCCACCAACGCCCAGTGTCCAGAGTTTTTAGCGGGGCTTTATTACTGAGACATAATTACTTGAATCAAGTTACTGAACGCAGTTTCCAACTCTGCCCTCTCTGGAGGTCTGGCTGGCCCAAAATTCCAACCTTTAGTTATGTCATTCATCTTCTGATGATCAGCCCTAACCCTAAAACTTTATATGGAGGTTCACTGTGAGTCACCTCACTAATATAACATACTCATAACTTAGGAAATTGTAAGCGTTTTAGGAGCACCATGGCAGAACTGGGGTCAAAGAC